CGCAATTATGTTTCATTTGAAATAAGAGGAAGCCACCGTTTCAGGCCTAGAAGCCCTTTTTCTTCATACCACTAGCATTTGGGAAATTGCCTGTAGCTGTCTCTCTCTCTCGATAATGTCCTTTTTCAGGTCAGGAGACCAGATCGGAACACAATATTCTAGGTATGGTCATACCAAAGATTTTTATAAGAGGAGTAAGATCTTGGCAGTTTCTATTTGCTATGCCTAGCAAGTTTGCCTTTTTCAGAGCAGCTGTACACTGGACTGACATTTTTATCAGATTGTCCACCATTACCCCAAAATCCCTTTCTTGCTCAGTTACTACTAGCTCAGCTTATACTCGAAGTTGGGATTTCTTGCCTCAAGATGCATTATCTCCCTAGCCTACCAGCTGGGAATAATACTTCATGCATCTCGTCCATAAAAGCTTGACACCTCAAGAACATTGAGTAGCCCCCGTTCAGGATTTGCTTTGCTGGAAGGATGGATCCTGGGTGGCAGAGCAGGCAGGTTGGTGGATTGCCTGTCTTTCTTCCAACAGCCCCTGCGTTGTCTTCTGAAGATCCCCAGGCTTTTCCTTTCTTCCTCTACCAGGTGGAGACCGTGCTTCTTGAGGACCAGATGGGGTGCACCTACATGACCCACCGTCGCCGCTCAACCTGCCGGTCCCCTTCAGCTGGCCTGGATGGACTCTCCCCGCTTGTATCTGAGGAGGACCTCAGTACCATTCAGGTACTGGCCATAGCAGGCATAAGGCATCATGTGAGCTTGGCGAGGAGAGATGCTAGAAGAAGCGGGACCTGTTGGTTTGCCACGCGTTCATGAGCCCCACTCAACTGGTATGGCATTTCCTCCGGAAAGGTAGTATTTTTTTGCCAGCTGATAAAAAAAAGTGTGTGTGTGTGGGTGTGCGGGTGTGTGAAACACTCATGCCCTTCCCAACCTAGTGCAGCCTCCAGATGTGCTGGATGACAACTTCTGTACTCCCAGCCATCTGGAGGCTGCACAGGACTGGCTAGGGCTGTTCTGCATCACTTCTTTTCAAAGGCTTGCAGCATTTGGGGCTGCCACCTCTGTCACTGGCTTTTTACTAGCATGGCCAAGTAGAGTTTGCCATGCAAACTTCTGCAGTGTGTGTTGGGGGCTTGGGAAGGACAGAACCATTTTAAATACGGATACCTTTCAATTAACAAGCATATGTCAAAGAGCAAGGACATTTCCCTTGCCCTTCCCTGCCCTACCTCTGGGAGAGGTGGCAGCCACCAAATCCTGTCTTCGGACCTGATCCATACCTTCCTGGTCCCACCTCCAAGGAGTTTCCCTTGATATAATGATGGCCACATTCTGTGCCAAGTAAGGAAAAGTGTCAGAAGTCAGAGGGGGAGATTTGGAATTGTTTATTGCTCCTCATTTCTTCCCCCCCCTACACCACAGCCCATGACCTGCTGCTCCTCCCGCCAGGCTGGGTCAGGCAAGTTTCTGAGCAAAGTGACCCAACGCAAGGAGCAGCCTCATCAGGAGGATTTCAGCAGCAACACCGACCAGGCAGAGACCTCAGCCAAAGACGCGGGATAAAACTGCCCCGGCCCTGCTGTATTCACAGAGAAAATAATAAACAGAAGGCTTGAACTGCGCTACTCCTTCCTTTCAAGGCCTGGAGCAGGAAAGGACTATGCATGTCTCTCCTGCCCAATACCTGGCATAATGGCAGCAAAGTGCAGGTGGGTGGGGGGGTGGGGGGTGATGGGGGGGTGTTCTTGCTGCAAAGCATGATGGGTAAATTGACATAACAGGCATCTCGGATAAACACCAGTCCCAATCCATGCAAAAACTATTCAAGTGGCTACAGTTGCCACCTCTTCCAAAAATAAATTTCAATATATGTAAATGAAAGGAACAAAAAAAAGTCTACAAAATACCCCAATGTATTGTTCTTTCACATGCAGAATTGAATGCCCATCTAGCCAGAGCACTTGCATACAGCACTGGCAGCAACTGTGAGGATCATGAAATGGCAGAAAATTCATGACTTAAGGGTACACCTGCTGGATAATTTTACTGAACCAAGGGGGTTGTTGCCTTCCTGATCTGGTGCAATCCCACACGTTATGGCACAGAAAAGTCCTACATGCTGACTGGGGAATGCTCAGAGTTGTAGGAATTCTCTCTCTCTAGATTTGCATCAGATGGTACCTTTAGCAACATTGGATGGCCACAGTGAAGTAGGGTGGCCAGACCTAGGCCTTTCAGAGTTCCTCTAGAAGGGAAGATTCTGTGAAATGCCGTTTTCCCCCCTACATGGGGACCACTTTGACAAGAAAAGGCACTTTGTAAATGTCTCCTTTTGGGATATAATTTTTATGCTTTTTCCCACTCTCTTATTTTAATTCTGGCTGTGAAACTGAGATATATTGCATTGTTCATAGTGTTTTGTACACACAATCTAAAACGTAAGTATTTTAAGTAATATTTAACTAGGGAGACTCAGAGTAAAGTACTTGCTCAGTTAAGCTCAACTTTGGCTTCTCCCAGCATTACTTTCTTTCCTATTAGTATAAAGGATGCTTTAAAAATAATAATATACACCTCTATACGTAGCCCTGGTGCAAAGTCAGCATGTTGCTGTGATACATAAAACTATGGATATTAATAGCTATAGACCAGTGGCCAACATCCCCTTCCTGGGGGTGGCTGAACAGCTCCAGACTCTCTTTAATGAAATGGATTAGCTAGATCCATTTCAATCAGGCTTCAGTCCTGATTTTGGAATGGAAATGTCCTTGGTGTCCTTGTGGGATGATTTTTGCCACAAGAAAGAGGGGGAGCACAGCTCCATTGATTCTGCTTGCTTTTGATACCACTGACCCTGGTGTCCTTCTGGAGAGGCTGGCTGGGCTAAGTGTGGGACGCACCACATCGCGGTGGTTCTGCTCCTACTTAGCTGGCTGATTCCGGGAGCTGGAGTTGAGGCGGTTGATGCTCTGTGCCAGGGCAATTATGCCAAGGCATACTACAGGATTCTGTTGTATCCCATGTGCTATTTAACACCTGCATGACATTGCTGGCAGAGGTTATCCAGAGGTATGGGCTGAGGCCCCACCAATATCCAGATGGCACTCAGCTCGCTCTCTCTTTTTCATCAAACCTAGGTGAGGCAATGGCTGCTCTGAATCAGTGTCTGAGCATGGTAACGGACTGGATGAGGGCCACCAAACTGAGGGCCAATCCAGAGAAGACGAGGGTGTTGTTAGTGGGTGGTTCATCAGTCCAGCTGGGTGATATTCAACTTGTTCAGGATGGGGTTAATGAAGGAAAAGGTTTGTGGTTTAGGGGTGCTTCTGGTTATCATTTGAGGCACAGGTGGACTGTGTGGCATGGAGGATCTTTCATCAGCTTAAACTCATATACCAACTATGATCCCATCTGGAAAGAGAGAGCCTAGTCAGAATTATCCCTGCTCTGGTAACCCCTCATTTGGATTGCTGCAATTCACTGTACAAGGAGCTGCCTTTGAGAATGGTCCAGAAACTTCAACTGATCCAAAACAGGGCCCCAAGATTGTTAATGGGGCTTGGCTCACAAGAACCCAATAGACCAGTTCTCTTCCAGTTACACTGACTGCCTGTTGAAGTCTGGATACAATTCAGAGTGCTAGTACTAACATTCAGCGGCATGGGTATATTAATTAAGTTTATTGCATTTTCCCCAACCTGATGCCTTCTAGGTGTGTTGGACTACAACTCCTAGCATCCCTAGAACTGGCAGATACCAGGCTGAGGAAGGCTGTATAGTGAAATATGCTATTTAGCCATTGTTACTCCAAAGCAATTTTTTAAAAACAATTTGGAAACTGAAAAGCTTATGCATTGGTACTTTGCAGAACTTTACTCCTGTTGTGTTGGCTGCAATAGTTTAGGAGTTTAAAATCAAATCTGTCGTGATAATTAAACCAATTATTGGAACACCCAATTAAAATTGTAGTAATTTTCAAATGTAGTTCATTCTCCATTATTAGGTGATACCTCTCGTTAAAAATGAGGTCCAATTGACCTTTGTTTTGCTTTGCTTGACAAACAGAAACAATGTTGATAGTACCCAAGTTTATAATATTGCATTAAATCCTAGTTTTCTATGAATGGCAGCTCACACTTTGCTAAATGAAACTTCCAATCCCTTTTCTTTCCGTCAGCTTCATAGGCTAGTTACAACCTAACCGTTCCACAGCGATTCATGCAGCAATACTGTAAAGATCATACTAAAGAGACAACATTCCTCTTAAGCACCAAATATGCAGATCCTTAACACGGAAAACTGTTTCCTTTTCTAGGTCTTGCTTTGCTAACAGGAAAAGAGGAGCGTCCAAGACTGCCGCCATAGTGCAAACCATTAAAAACATGGGGGGAGTGGGGAGTTGAGATATACATTTAAATCAGGGCTGAGCAACTTGTGACCCTCTAGCTGCTGTGAACTGCAAGTACCATCACTTCTCGCCAGTAGTTATGCTGGCTAGAGCTGACAGGGCAATCAGACCAGCGACATTTAGATGGCCAGTATTTGTACATCCCTGCTTTACATGGAAAAGCTCATCTCTGCAGGGGAGTTTACAGGACCTATTTCCCTCACGGGGCTGCTCTAGCCTCGGTCCTCCGGCAACTCTATGGGCAGAATTACGGTAACGATCGGAAGGAAAGCTGTCGCCTGGGCTAAACCAAAGCGGAAGACAGGGGTGGGGTCATTAAATTTACTTCCGGAAGGGTACGGTTTGGGCGGAGTGGAAAGTAACATTATTGTTTTCTTTCCTTTAAATAAAATGCCTCTTCTCTGTATTTTCCCTTTTTCCAATTAAAAATGGCCTGTTTAAAGTAAAACTGGATTCCCCTCTTATCTTCTTTTGGTACAGTCCAACCCTGGGGCTCTGTGAATCCTAAGGGCTTTTAAAAAGACAGTGGGCGTTTCCTTCTTGTTTCACGCGGGGCAGCAGCGTGAAGGTTGCAAAAACCGAAAGACGCAATTTCATTGGGGGAAAAAAAGCCGAAAGAAAACCGGCGGAAGTCCTTTGGGAGGGCAGTGAAATAGAAGGGGGCGGAATCAGGACTCCTGGGTCCCTTGGGAGAGGCGGGCTGTTTGGGTGCAAGGTTGCATGAACTCAGTCTTGCACTGGGGCTGGTCATAGATTGCAAGAAAGTTCCGGTCTCCCGACAGCAACGGCAGGCAGCAAGATGAAGCAAGAAAATATTTTCCTCTTTGTCCCGAACCTCATTGGTATGTTATGGGGTGGTAGGCAATTGTCTGGGGGTGGATGAATTGAATCTTTCTCTCTTAAAAAATATCATTTGTTTTCATGTTTGCACTTAATAACTTGAATGTATTGCATATTAAAGATAGCACTGGTTATTGCGAGGTTTAAAAGTACAATAGCGACACAAATAATGAAAGGCTGCAATCTTATCTGCGTTACTCGGGAGCGAGCCCCCCTGAACACGGGGCTTGCTTTTTAGTAAACAGATTAAGCTGTTTCCTTACTGCTATTCTAGGGCAGAAAAGGCCCGGTTCTGATCTGGGGACATTTTGTAGAGACAATCTTCCAGATTAAGGTAGTCCGTTTTCCGAGGTGGTATAGGTTCCACACCAGATGCTGGGAAACGAACCACAAGGTTCGAGGGTTTATTGCAGCCTTCTCCAACGGGATGCCGTCGGGCTGTGTTGGACCACAAATCCTGGAGGGCACCCCACTGGGGAAGGGTGGTTGCTGCCCTCACACTCTGTTCCCAGACTTCCTAAAAGCCACAGGGCTGGCTGCTACAGACTGCAAGGTGCCTTACAAGGGGGACATTTGGCCTTTGCTGACTTTCTACATTGCTGTGAATTACATACAGCTTTGGTACCCTTTCACCTTAGCCATACTTCATCCAGTCCACTTCCTGCCCTACTGCTTTCATGAAGTGGTAAAGCTGAAATCAGGGACAGTGAAATGTCTCCCTTAGAGCTGGCAAGTGGACAGGTGACCCACCTCTCTGTTGCATGGCCTAGTTGGGGCACTTTTTAAAAAGTAGCTTTATACTCCAGAAATGAAGCAGTTGACTCGAAGACTGAGAGCCTGTCTCTCATCCTCTTCAGCATCAGTGCAGTCAAGGGAAGCACTTGGGAAGCATCACTTGCAGTCAAGGGAAGCTGGAAATTCAGAGCTTTGCAAGACTCTTGCCTGGAAATCAAGCGAGGTGGGGCTGCAGGGGAATCAGCTGAAATGTAGTTGCAGGGTATTTGTTTTGGCGGAGAGGAATTAAAGGTTCAAGGATTGTGCCTTCATTTTCTTCCTTTCCCTTTGCAGGTTATGCCCGCATAATCTTTGCTTTTATCGCTTTCTATTTTATGCCAACTTCCCACCTGACAGCATCATTCTTCTACCTGCTGAGTGGTTTCCTTGATGCCTTTGATGGTTATGCCGCCCGGGCCCTTAACCAAGGTACACACTGCCTGTGCTCCTTCTAGTCTGTCCCTAAAGGCAGAAACCCAAAGTGTGTGTTAAGGAGGGGATTGTTATGCTGTAAAGCAGCCAGTTGGGGCAATTTGGGGGTGCATATATGAGCATATGAAGGCCATTGGTTCATCTGGCTCAGTATTGTCTGCTCTGACTGGCACCTGGTTAGCCACTGAGGGAAGGAATAAGCCACTGTGGGAAGAGAATGCTGGACTCGGCGGGTCCTTGCTCAGCAGGGCTGTTCTTATGGTCTTATTTCATGGCAGCCTTCTGCAGCCAGCAATCTTTTTCATCTTCCTGGTGCTGCAAAACTTGCCAAGTACTCTGCAATTCATAACCCAGGCGGGCCTCTTGGACACACAGCCCAAGTGCATTCTTCTTGGGGTCTAGATCCAGCCATGTGGGGTTTTCAGAGGGCCAAAACCCTTCCCCTGGCCAAGTCCCCTTTTCAACCACAGTTCATTTTATAGCTTCCGACCTCGATGTGTGTGCTTTCCTCGTTCTAAAAGGCTGAAATGCCTCTCCTGAGGCCAGGTGGCAGGACTAGCTTGAAGCTGCAATCTGCTGCTGGGTTGCATTTTTTGGCTCTGCTCCCTTTGCCTACAGCCGTGCCCACTGCTGGAAGGCTGCGCCCCAGACAGCCTCTCCAGAGCAGCTGGAGTTCAGCTGCTGGTTTGAAAGTGGTTCCTTGTGCCTCCCACAGCTGCTTCCATAAATGCCTGGAAGAGGAGCTCTTGAGAAAAATGCAACAGCCCCCATGATTTTTAGAAATGAGTCTATTTATTTAAAACATTTCTATGCCGTCCCATCGCAACAAAGCCTCGGGGCGGCTCACAACACATAAAATCTGATTTTACTCCAGATTGGACCTGCTGTAGTTGAAAGAAAATTCTTAATACTCTATGGTTGCAAACCACCCAAAGAGCTTCTGCCTTTGGGTGGGATAGAAATGATGACGATATAATCATCATCGTTATACTGTAATAAATGCTCAGAGCCCAGAATAGCTTAATGGCGACCCCCTCCCGTACAAGTCCATAAACAACTTCAGCAAGTCACAAATGGGGCAGGGGCTGCAGCATCCCAGGCGCCGGGTTTGATCCTGCAGGGGATGATGGGGTCAGACTCCCGTGAGCCCAGCCAGGATGCCCTCTCGACAGGGCTGATGGGAATGGGGGTGCCGCAGCATCCGGAGGGCTGTGTCTGCGCATCCCATCTTCCCTGCTGGTGTGTGTTTGCGATGCTGCCACACTGCCCTTTCCTCCTCCCTGCCCGATGCCCCCCAGGGACCCACTTTGGGGCCATGCTGGACATGCTGACTGACCGCTGCACCACCATGTGCCTGCTGGTGAACCTGGCCATGCTGTACCCCGAGTCCGCCCTCTGGTTCCAGCTCAGCATGAGCCTCGATGTCGCCTCCCACTGGCTCCATCTGCACAGGTATGCGCTGGGGGAGGGGGAGCTGCTTACCCCCCGGCAGGGTCCCCATGAGCATTTGAGGCACTGCCGTGGGGCCGCCCCAAAATGGCTGCCGGGGAGGACGTGGCATGTGGGGGCCCAGCTGGCTGGACGAGATGTGGGGAGAGAGAGCGAGCGAGCAAGTCTAGAGGCTGGGAGTGCAGGGATGAGGGGGAGAGCACAAAGGGGAGAGGTCTGCATAAATGGAAGAGCCCGTGTGATGCAGTGGCTGGCACCGTGGAACAGGGACGCAGGCGATCGGGATGCTGGTCCTCACCAGCCATGGAGCTCCGTGGGTGACTTGAGGCCAGTCGCAGGCGCTCAGCCCAGCCTACCTCACAGGACTGTTGTTGTGAGGATAAGATTGAGGGGAGGATAATTATGCGAGCTGCCTTGAGTTCCTTAAAAGGAAGAAAGGCAGGAACTAAACGGAAGGAAGGTTGGCAGGTAAGCCAGCCAGCCAGCCAGCCATGAAGCAACTCTTGCTGTCTCTTCCTGCTGATCTGCAGCAGGTCCAGGAGCAGGAAGGAGAACCCAGTGGAGCCACAACTATTTTTCAAGGTTTTTAAAGTAAAAAATGCATTTTTGAAGGGAGCAAGGCATGGAGAACCTCCCTGGAAGTCCACATGGACACCAGGAGCATGATGGAAATGCAGGAAGTAACTTTATACCATCTAGCCCTGGGATTTTGGCTCTTGTTGCAGGCAGTCACAAAGCCTTTCCCCAGAGACTGAGGCAGGGAGCATCGGCCTGCAGTCCGTGGTCTCTGTCACTTGGTTATGGTCCCTCCCCAGAGGGAGGAAGGTAATACAAGGCATGTTGCATTACTTTGGTTATTCCTGGTCTTTAGCCAAGGCTGAAGACTAATACATGCTTCCTCGGGAGCATGGCTCATTGGACTTACTCTGGAGTAAACATCAGTAGCATCACACTGCAGAATTTCAAGTGCTCACTTGGCCCTTCAGGTGTCCCTGTTGAGCCTTTTGTGTCCCTGCACTTCTACTGTGAGCCAGTTCAAAGTCACATGGTATAGTCCTCTCCAGATTGTACCACTAGAATTCTCCCATTGCACAATCCTAACACAGTTACTAGGAGAATATTGTGTTGAACTCAGTGGCACTTTGAATACACACGCATGAGATTGCTTTGTAAGAGGCTGAGCTGTGACTTGGGAAGGCACTAATGTCTCATTTCTGCTAAGAATTCACTAGGTGGCAGTAGGAACCAGCTCTTTCTTAGTCTCAGTCTACCCATCTGATATATGGGAATAATATTACTAACCCATTTTACAGAGTTGTTGAGAGGGGTAGAGTGTTCAGTGTGCTACAAATCTATATAACTTCCACAAATAGAAAAACTGAGATCTAAGGAGAGGAATGGCAAAACTCCTGTTTTTCCTGCTTGGTGACGTATTTAGCTTTCTTCATATAAACATAAACAGGCCTTCCTTCCATGATTTGGAGACCTGAAAAGGAGGCCTTGCTGTGGAGCAGAGAAGAGTTTTGGTGGGGAGATCTAACATGGAAAGTGGTGTCAGTGATGCCAAGGTGTGTGTGTGTGTGTGGAGGGGGGGGACTTGAGTGCTTGTGTGCAGAAAATGGAGTGTCCTTAATTCCTAGTGTAACCCCCTTCTTCTGCTCCCACCAGCACTGTGGTGAAAGGTGCTGAGAGCCACAAAAGCATAGACCTGTCCGGAAACCGGATCCTGCGGGTGTATTACAGCTCCCGGGTGAGTAGTACTTGCATGCATCTCTTCCAGCTCTTCCTGCCATAGAAACAGAGCGAGTCAGAAGGGGCCTCCTGGGCCATCTAGTCTGACCTCCGGCACCAGCCGGCTCCGCTCACGACATGCCCACCATGTGCACGTCCAGCCTATCCTTGAACACCCGCACCAATGGGGCCTCAGCGACCTCTGGTGAAAGCCCATTCCACACCCTCGGGGTCCTGACTGACAGGAGTGCTTCCTGGCATCCAAATGGAACCTTGGCTCCCTGAGCTTTGCTCTGTTGGAGCGCGTCCTGCCTTCCTCTTCAGGGGAGAACAGGTCTCTACCCATCTCCATGTGACAACCCCTCACATACCTGTATGTCACCAACAGGTCCCCTCTGAGTCTCCTCTTCTCCAGGCTGAAGAGACCCAGTTCCCTCAGTCTCGCCTCATACCCCATCCCCTGCAAACTGGCCACCAACCTTGTGGCCCTGCGCTGCACTGACTCTAACCTGGCTATATCCTTTCTGTAATGAGGGGCCCAAAACTGAGCACAATACTCCAGTTGCGGGCGCACCAGAGTCGTAGAGGGTGGTACTAATATACGAGCTCCCATAGCTCCCACCTTCCGACCCAGAGACCATCTCCCTTGTTCTTCCAGGAAAAACAAAATGTAATCTCGGCCCTTCTTGTTCCACCAGCGTATGTCAGGAATATGAGCTGTGAGATCCCCTTTTCTCACGTTCTTCCCCCTCAACTCCAAATCCTGTATTTGGATCCCATCTTGGAAAGAACAGACAAGTATGGGTGATTTTTGTCTCGTTGTGAAATATGTAGTATTTCTTGATGAATCATGAAAGAGGTAATTCCCACTCACATTTGTCCCCAACAAATTTACTTACCCTTTTGCAAGACGGGTTCTGTCCACATTGTGGCCTTCCGTCCATCCATTCTTTCAAAAGGACTCCTCTCAAATTGGAGGGTATGAACAGAGTGGACTAAAGTTCCAGTTATGCACCAACTTTATCAGCTGCTAGTTAGTTACACGTTTCATGTGCTGGTTTGGACCTTGAAAGCCATAAATCGAGGTGGGGAACTTCAAGCCTAGAGTTTCAAACTGGCCCTGGGATTCCCCAGATGGGCCTGCTAGCTTTCCCTGGCCATGCTCTCTTAACCTCTGGCAATGGGAAAGTTTCCAGCTTTCCCCTGCTCATTCTAAGAGGCTGAACTGCCTTTCCTGGGGCTTAGTTACTGGCAGTAAGACCATCAAGCTAAAATATGCTGAGGGGTTTTTGCATTTTTTGCTCTGGCTCCTTTGCCTTCATCTGCACCCAGCAAGGGAACCCCTGAGAGTTTTTCCAAAACGGAATTCGGCTCTTGGGCCGAAAGGTGTTTCTGGGCTAGGATAACTTAAACGCTGCTTCCTCCCATATGAGCCTACCTGCTTATTAAGATTAGGAACTCTGCTCAGCAGACCCCATCATACAAAGCAAGGCTTTGGGCCTTCTTAGAGGTGATACCAAATCTGCAGGAATCTCTTCCAAGGGAACTGGGCCTTTTTTTTCCTCCAGAAAGCAGGCCTGGGCTGCTGTTTTCCAGAAAGCCTTTGGGATTGCCTGATTGCTCTTTGGGAGAACTGACTGCAGATTTTATTATCGTTATTGTTCTCTTGGGTTTTACCACTTCATTGTTGTTGTTTGCTTTTTACATTATGTTATGAAGCTGTGTTGTAAGCTTCTAAACTTCCTTGGAGATGGTTGTATTGAAATGACAGCCTACAATATTTTGATAATACGGCAAAAACAGTTGACATTGTTGGTGTGTTAGTAGTGTGTGCTTCTCTTTGTGGTCCTATATATTCGGGCACAAATGAACCTAGTTGCCTTAGTGAATTCAAGGTCTGTGAAGTGGTTAGTGAGGGCAAAACCCCAATTTCTAGAAGAAAAATATCTCTTCTTTTTATTGGCAAGGGGTCATCGTCTGGCATTTACTCATCTCCAGCGTGAGCAAATGGGCTCAGTGAGGCAACAAGGAAGATTCAGGGGAACTCCAGTGCAAGATAGATGGTGTCTGTGTTGCACACGTCCTGGAAGACATGGCATGCCATTTATTGGGCTGCCAGTTATATTCTAGTTGTAGGAAATACTGCATATCTCTGTATTTTGGACACATGAGAAATTGGCTGTCTGAGGCTAAACTGATTTTAAAAAAAATTGAGGATCTGATCCATTTTTGATTCAGAGGATTGTCACTTTGCAGTCAAGGTGTTCAGGTTACCAAAAAAAGAAAAAGAAATATTTCTGATTAAATGAGCCATGTAATAGTTGTAAGTGCATGCATTTTAAAAGATTTATAACCTGATAGTCTATATTTTATTTGTTTGTTGGTTTGTTTGTTTATTAGATTTCTAACCCGCCCCATTAGCCACACAGCTCCCTATAGGGAGCGCTATACATATATATATATATATCTCCCTATATATAGCTCCCTATGTATATATAGCTCCCTGCATGTGTGTGTGTGTGTGTGTATTGGGATAACACATCTCTGGGAATAGGTGAGATATAAATATTATATTAAAATGTTATTGTATTAATAAATAGTATTGTTATTATATCAACAACAATACTTGGATGTTTAATGCCAGTTTTATGTTAACAGAGAGAGACAAGCACATTTTCCTTCTAGTTTATGTTTGCAGCATTTATCCTTGGCACGGCCTGCAATAAATGTGCTCGCTGATCCCCTTTGCTGACCCGTGTGCCTGATGGCGCTTCTTTCCCTCTGCCTGCAGCCCGTGCTCTTCGTCATGTGTGCGGGTAACGAGCTCTTCTACTGCATGCTGTATTTGCTGTGCTTTGGCGAGGGACCGCCGAGTGAGTATGCGGAGCTGGGGAGAAGGTGGGGCGGTGCCTCGGAATTGTGGGCTCCCTCAATCCCACCCCTTTTTATTTCTGTGCTTCCTTTCCAGTCCCATTCAATAGCCCATTCCTGCCAGGACATACCGGCCTCTTCCGCTTCGCCCTCTGGGTCTGTGCCCCCTTCGCCGTCACCAAGAGCCTCATCAGCCTGGTCCACTTGGTCTGCGCCTCGTGCAATATGGCTGCTCTCGATGCTGCTGAGCGTGCGAAGAGGAAGTAGCATTTCAAGGCGCGTCGCCTCCCCCTCCCCGGAGCGAGATCGGCAGCCGACCCTCGCTCCGTGTTCGCTTCACGGGGCTTGGCCTCGGCTTAGCCACTCCATGGTGCAGTCCCTGCTTGGTGTGATGTCCCGGCCCCGCCCTGATGCTTTGTGGTCTGTGTGGGATGATGGGATAGGTCCTGCTCCTTGTGGCTTCCTCCTTCACTCCTATAATGTTTTGCATTGCTTAGCAGCACAGTGACTGATGGGCAGAAATTTACTTCAACCAAGGCAGGAATTTAGTTCACTGTTTTGAAGGCAGCTAAACAGACTTGCCCTTTGGGGACTGTCAAGGTCTCTGCCTCGTGCTGCTGGTGTGTTTTGCAGGGAACAAAATTCAGTCATGAGAAGAGTCCTGGACTAGCCTTTCCCTTTCCAAAACTACAGAGAGATATTACTCTGAAGGCGTGGGAGGGGTGGTAAAAGCCTCATTCCCAGAATTCTCCAAGTATATCTGGGCTAGGACCGGGGGGGTGGGAGCAGCCAGGTAGCAGTCACTGACTTCTTATCACATGAATGTGTTTCAGATGGAATCTGATGTATCCTTAGGAAGTAGCTCCATGGAGAGGCCAAGTAAGAAGGGACCAGATGCCAAATTGCTGTATTTTCTCCTGGCTGTTCAGTGTATCCATTTTAGCCTAGGCTTTCTACCCCGTGTGTTTTAGTAGAATTACATGTCCATAGGCAGTTATCTGGAAGTACCTCTTGCTCCCAGACTGCCTTCTTCCCACATTGCTTTGCTTTCACAGCTTCTCTTTTGTTTCACCTGCCACCATCAACTGGTCTGATGCACAGATCCGTGGTGGGTTTGTATTCCCTGGGGGAGTAAAAGGCGTACGGGTTCCCATTTTTGCAGTCACAGCCTGGAGCTTTATTTTAGTGGCTCTTCTGTTCACGCAACCCTTCCCATAATGTCTCCCACAGTGTCAGACTGAAATCTATTGTTCTCTTTTCTATAATCATGCACGTTACACTTTTGAAGGAGTGCAGTGGAACCCTGATGTGAGGCCATCCACCATGTCTACCCTTCATTCTCTTGTTCTTGCTACCACTGAAGGTTGGCCTGCCCTGACGTTCTCTGGAATACAGAGAAATGCTTTCCTATTTATTTTCTAGAAAGGTCTGAGTTCCCCTAGATAATTAGGAGCCCAGTCTTGCCTTCTCCATCATCTGTTCATTAGCACAAGTTGCCATATTGTTTCATTGCCCTGCTTTCCTGCATGATCTTGGTCTGTGAGAACTAAGTTTACGATGATATGGTGGCCAACTTGACTCTCCCGCTCTCACTTCCCCACAAAAGCCAGCTTTTCCTGTTGGGGCTGATGAGGTAGGAGAGGCAGAGGAGGGAGCGGGGGGAAAGGGGAGATGGCATCCATATTGGAAGAGGAACCTTGTGGCACCAACAATGGGGTGAAGGTAAATCAGCCATGGATAACGGGAAATTTCCCTCTCTGGCTAGTGTTTGCATTGCATCTGCCCACATAAGGGACACATGCCGTGGAATGGCCCACACTGTCTCCTGTAGGACTGGGATCAGTATTACTCTAAAGAACCTGCCTTTGCAATTTTCCTTCCACACCTCCCAACCCCCAGCTGTGCATAATTTGTATGTTGGTTTTAGAAAAGTAAATCTTGGTACAATAAGAAGACTCCTCCAATGGGAGTTGCTTAATAAAGACCATCTATGTGAGCATCTGGTTGTATGTCTTAATTTGACTGTCTCTGAGATAAATGGTTTTATATAAAGACATTGATGAGTAGCCAGGATAAGCAGGTACGTGGTACCAAGTCAGAATTCAGTGGTTTCCTATCAGGCCGGATCGTATGGTTGAGTGGGGAAGGTCCTAGAAGAGGCAGACTTTTAGAGCTGAAGGGTCTGGCGGGGAAGCTTAGAGGGTAGAGTCTTTTTTACTAGAAACCTGAAATCTATCAACAATGGCCTACTGCAAAAGGCATACAGTTAGAATCAAATAGTTCTGCACCCAGGGAATCATGATGAGTACCAGAATTGAACTGAGTCTACAACTGTCCCTCACAAAATTTTGCTCTCCAACCTGCCTGATCTCCCAAGACGGGATTGAAGGCCCCGTTCCTGGTGGACTTCCCTTGAGCCATGGGTCAGCATTGGACAACCAGGAGAAGGTCTTCGGTCAGGGAGAAGGCACTCTCAGGTCGCAGGCTGGTTCATGTTGTTTAGGGCTTTCTGCAATGGTATAAAAACCTCAAACCTGGCCTGGTAGGAAATAGGCAGTCAGCGCAGTTCCTTCAGCAAAGGAGCTGCATGCCGGAAAATGTTTTAAGGCTGAGATCTGGTGGCACTCTTGGCTGGAAGTAAGTCCCATTGAATTTGCTGGGTTTTGTGCGTAGCCGTGTAGGAAGCATCATGTAGCAGAAACCAGTTATTTTTGTCTTGCCTGGGTTCTTTGTGTATGCCCAGTCATTCTGCCTTTGCCTCCCACTTTAATTTAGGATCACTCACTGGAATGAATACAACACTGCTGCAGTACAGTTAATCAAGAAATTCAATTCTGAAGATTAGAGTCTAAATAGAGACTATGGTTTCTTGTCCCAATATTTTGCTAAATTGATTGTGTTATCAGCTGTCGCTGCTGTTGTGAGGGATCACTCCATTCAAACTCTAATTGAATTGCCACTGTCTGTACTGCTCGCATTTAATTTATTACCTCACTGCATGCAAGACCACTCAACCAGGAGTTTATACTTTGGCAACTCATCTCATGCATCTTGTAAAGTGGATTTTGGTGCCTGAGAGTAAATGCCTTAATAGTAGCTTTCAGGTACTGCAAGAATGTACATTGCTTTTGCTGCAGCCCAGACTAACATGGAGCCCCTCTGGAAATTATCACTGAAATGTGAATACTGTTTGGGGCATGCCTAAAAAAGGCAGAATCTGGTCATACACTATTTTGTAGCAAGGAGATGTTAGCATTCATTTTGTTTTGCTTTTTTAAATCAAACGTTTCTGGCTATATGGCTGCAGCCAAAATAAGCCTGAAAATGTTTGGGTTGTGCTTTAGAAGCCAAAATGGCTACTAGCTGGAGTACATTAATCCCTTTCTATGGATAGTAGAAGCAGGGTACATTATGCAATGTAAAGATAATGCATAAGCCTTTTAAGAACCTTCAATTCTAAGAGTACAGGATTCCACTTTGCTTGCTGTGGCTTTTTTAAAAATTGAGATGAATTACTACTACTACTATTACTACTATTCCACTTCTATACCGCACCCATAGCCCAAGTCTACCCAGACTAGCTAGTTCCAACAGTGACAAATTCCCCACTTAAGCCAGAATTTTCTTGACAAAATGGAAGACGCCATTTTCATGCATCTGAGTTTATTTACTCGATTCATGCGTTGATACAAAAGTCAATAGCAGTTTATAATTTGACCACATCCCTTCTTTCACTCCCACCCCCACCCACCTGTACTTTATACAAACTGGTATTAGGATTTGTAATATTTCACAATACCCACCTGCCCAAAAAACCAGATTTCTGAATTGAACAAAAGGCTTTAATTGGTCCCAGACTCAGAAAGACCCCACCCTTGTTGTTTCAAATTAATATGTTTTAATTAGCAGGAGCAACAAACATGGACGGAAGTAAGAAAAAGGAATGGTAACAAGTTATAAAATTAACAAATCAGATTAATAAAAACATCAGCCAATCTTTTTGCTCAGCACTGAGTATGCTACAAGCACCATGTAGGTAATCACGAACTCTGGTTTTTAGAATGAGGGCTGGATTGAAATAGGTTCTCATAGCAACAAAGTTCCTGCTTCCACATAGGAAAGAAGGTGATTGTTTGTCTTTCTAATGAAATGGTGTTGCAGAAGGACAGGAAGCGAACGGATCTGGTGCCTCCTGCAAAGTCCTCTGGAACAAAAGTTCTCCACACAGCGAAAAACTAAATTGCATCTCGGGGTGGGGTGGGGGGAAGAAATACAAAATAAAATCTCCCCCTCCTTTCCCCCTAAAACCTACTCCCACCCCAAAACTCATATATTAAAGCAAATTTTATTCTCCAGCGTCCTACTCTTTGCCCCCACCCCAGATATGGAAACATCTATCAAGCATCATGTCAAAGATATAGGTTATGTGATTTTCATTCAATAGCTGATATGTGCAAACGTAAAATCCCTTTCCCCCAGCAAACCAGCCCCCTCAACAGTGATCTGTACCCCATCCTCATTCTATAGCTGCCCCCCAAATTCTACTGTGAACCCCCTTCAGCACCCCCTTCAGCCTCTCCAGGCCCCCAGCTCTGATGTTGCTCCTGAGGGCAAAATGAAAGCACGCCCAATCGCTTTGTTGCATGGAGAGTGGGCTGAGATGCGGCACAGAGACAAGGCAGCGTTGATGGTCACATCTTCAACCCAAATTTGATCATCAGTCTCAGATCCTCAGATCTGTATATTGTTCCACCAGGGGTCACTTTTGTAGGGGAGAATGGTGGTGATACCAGCCCTGCCCTCCCGCTGAACTCTTTATAATACTACCACCTTTCTTGGCAAGTGGAGGTCTGGATATCACCAAATTCCTTCAGCAGGCAGGAGTTGTCCAGCAGGCCCCAGTTCCACATCCCTAGACAAAGTCCTAAATCTTTAGCATCATCTGCTGTAAATCCTAACACAGTTTTCAATCTCTAAACTCCAGCAGTTGGATCTAGATTAAGTAGTACTTGGAGTAGACCCACTTAAATTAATTGGACTCCATCGTGGCTAACTTAACTCTCTAAATATGACTATATCTGGATCTAACCCAATTATCTGTGTGAGAGACAAAAAATTGTGTAAGTCCAACTCTCCCTAAACCCATCTCATTTTATCAGATCCTTATCAGCATCCCCTGACACTCTCTCCCACCAGGCTGGATTTCCCCTTTGAATGGAACTTCTCTTTCATGGATTCACCCAATTCCTGTTTGTATTCCTCTTTCTACTGAACCTCATACCAAAACGTAACTTCAACTCACTCTCTCCTTGCAAGTGTCTGATTTCCTCCCCCACCCCATGTGCCCCTCAACCCTCCCCACCCCAAATATAAGCATATAAAAACATGCAGATAGAATACTTGCATTTCAACATCAAAATACAACAGCGCACCCCACACCATCCTCTTCCACCTCCCGGAGATCAACTCTCCCCAGGAGGGAGGAAACAAAAACCGAAATAAAAATGCCCTTCCTTCCACACCATGCACCCATCCAAGGAAGGGCATTTTCGCTTTCTTTTTGGAGGGATGGTTGAGAGATGGTCCAGAGGATAATAACTCGTGCAGATGGGATTACGAAGGGGAGGAGTTTAAGATACTCCTCGCCCTAAATAAAGCCCCATGCCCTCTCCCGTGCACAGATCTGAAGGGAGAAGACATCCGGTCAACCCGCCCATATGCCCACCCCCTACCCTTGCCCCAGTGTGTAACAGTCTGCAAAACCAAAATAATTAAAGTCACATTGTGCCGGGTGTAAATTCGTGTCTGACACTCACACAATTCTTGCTGGTGCCCTTCCCCCACCCCACCCCAGTTATTTCTGTCCAGTAACATACAGGTTGTTCATCCGGCCCTTTGAATGTATTTTTGTCATTTGGTCTGGTGCTTGTGCTCCTTCAGGTATCTTCTGCCAGTGAAGTATCCTTCATCCCTTCTCTCCCAGGGCCCTCGGCTTCCCTCCAAGCTCCATCCTGATCTTTCCCCCATGTCTCCTCGTCCATTTCCTTCTGGTATACGACACATTCCTCGCTCCAATCCTTTCTCACGGTCTCCTTTCAGAGGGTTTCTGTAAGGCTTTGGTGCACTCTTCATGTATTTGTTCTGGCTGGCATCATCTGCTCCTTTTAAAAGTGGCTTTTGAATTTTAGATGGAGTGGATGGGCATCCGTATGTCTCTGCTAAGAGCGGTGTTTTGCATCCTGTAACTGGGTTCTGTAAATGCACAGCTTCCCCCACTCAGCAATTTCCAGTTCTGTTGTTTCCACAGAATTGTGATTTAAACACAGAGTGGAAAAATCACACATTTCTTTCATCACCACCCCCGGCTGCATGTATACACCTTTCCATGGCATACTTAGAGGCTGTCTTTCTGAATTGTGCGTCTTCTCCCATACCCCTGCCTTGGCCTTGGCGTTATTTATTTCATAGTCATTAGAGGGCTGGCTGCAGAGGCAGTCGCCTTTAGAGCAGAGCTGTTGAACTCAATGGGAGATACATTAATCATGGCATAACCCTGGATCTTTCCCTTCTGCTATGTGTGTGTTTACCGATCTTCCCTTCAGTGCCTTTTTAATCTTTCATACAAAAGTCCTGACCAGAAACTGAGCAAACAGGATCACTATTCATAACTGGCTGAGACAGAGGGTGGGGGGGAACAGACACCTCCTCCTTCGCTAGCTTCCTATCAGCCCCAACAACCTCTACATGCACTCCCCGCTCTTTGCCATTAGTTGCAGTGAATTCTTTCCATGGCAACATCCCAGCTGCCTCCTATCCCTGCCGAAGGTTCGTTTTAGTTTCTCAGCATTCAAACAAGGTTTTCTCTCTCAATAGGCATAGCCTGATGCATAAACTTGTTGGCCTTTCATACTTGCATTTAGACACAAAGACCTAGTTCAGCTTACATTCTGAAAGAATTCTGTTCAAACTAAAAGCTTGCAACCCTACTAAAAAAGAAAAGAAATGGAAAGGAGGAACCACTTCGACCAATGTTCCCTGATGCTCTCTCATTCTGCCATCACCACCAATTTCCTTCCTGTCTCATATTAAGAATCCCACTACACATTATTCTGTTTTCAGTATACAAGGGTGTTATGTTTCCTTAAAGAGCTCTTTAGCAATTCTTTTAACTGAATGAGCTATCTTTTTCTTCCTTCTGTTTTTCGCCGTCTATTTTTGACTTGAGAGAAAGCATCTTTTTAAAAACAAAGCCCTCCATTGTCCTACCAGCCAGATGCCACGCTCGTTCTCCTCCATTGCCTCTTCCATGCTCTCGTTTGCATGCTTCAGTTTCCAAAGTGTCATTCATTAGTTTGTTTTCCTTGGAGTGATAGCTTCTTGTTGTTGATTTTATGTCTTCCTTCAGATGGCAATATAAATTGCATTCGTGTTCTGTTTCCACTGACTGGCTGGTTGATGGATTTGGTCGCACATGCCTCCCGCGTGCCCTTAGTGTGCATGCAACCAAATCTATGCTTGTCATGCCGCTTGTTAGCTTATCCACCGACTCAGTGATACTCACTTCAGAGTCCGACCAGCACAGCAAATCCAGTTCCTGAACGGATCAACAGCCCCGAGGCCAGCCCCTCTCCCGCCCATCCTTGGTGGTTGTCTTTTGTAAACACGATGACAGGATGAAAGCGGGAGATCGGAGAAGTTTCCTCCCTGTCTCTGCTGGTTCTGTTCATCTGTTTCCAGCAAACATGTAAACATGCTCCCGCCCTCCTTCCGAGAGGGATGGGAAAAGAGCTCTTCTCTGGCAGCTTCTTGTAAACATGGAATATCGAAAGAGTTTTATTTGCTGTCGAAATTTGGCAGTTGATGAAAGATGGGCAAAGTGGGTCACTGGCTGAACAGATGGCTGGATGGATGGAAGGCCAATGAGATAAAGGTCTTGAGAGAGAGTGAGAGAGTCAGAGAAAAAGAACATGGAAATACATTTGTTTCTCCCCACTGCAGCCTCCAGTTAGGTGTCTAAAATTCCCTGTAAGGATGGTACACATACATAAACCTAGCAAGATGAGGTTCCTCTCTAATTCTCTCTCTTTCTCTCTCTCTCTCAACATTGTCTCCATCCTTGTGCTCCTGTTTTGCAAGATTCAGAGATGGATGAGGGACATGGGATGGGATGAAGGTACTGTAGTCATGCTGGCTCCCAGCTCCAAAGATGGACATTTCGGTGCTAGGGATGAAGTGGCAGCCACGTGGCCACGTTCACGGGAACACTGGGAAGGAGAGAGGTTGAGGAACAGGGGAGCAAGGAAAGGGAGTTGGGAAGGGGAATAAAAACATGGGCAAAGGAGAACAGAAGAAGGAACATTTTACTACCTGGAAAGAAATATGAGGAGGAACATTTCACACAGGACCCAATTCAACCTCCCTCCACATCTGGCTTCCACTGGAACCTGAAGCCTGTGGGAATGCACGACATCAGCAGAAGCCACATGGAGGTTGACGAGGCACCATCGGGGGAAAGTCTGGGGACACTTCTCTTCCCTGTTTTGCCTGCTTCAGCCTGAGGTTGGTGCTGGCAGTAGGAAGAGAGGAAGTTGAGGATGGGAAAGGATTCTGAGGAGAGTCGTTGGTCATAAAGATGGCCTACAACATGGAATTGGGTCAAGGTTTGACCAACCTACACCCTCCATGAAGCATTGTGTAATGTTGCTTCTATCCAAGCATTACACATTTATGGTAAGGGAGAGATTTGCTACCTTTCTGGGTGTCGGGGAGTGAACAGATGTGGACAGCAGAACATCTAGCAAAACAGAGAGAAGCTTGACCACCTCAAGTGGCTTCCACCTTTGTCAGGGAGCTGCGTGTCTGAGGCAATTTTATGAGAAAAATAAAAACTGTTCTCTTTCAGTGAGAGAAGGCATGGAACTTGACTCACCCTCCAGTTATTCATAATCCTAACCTGATTGCCTGAACTCTCAGAATCCAACAGTATGCCAAAGTGTTAAGAAAGAAGTGGTTTACAAATGGTCATTTACTCTGTCTACACAAGCGCTTGCATGCATATGTACACTTCACACACGCCCAGAGTCTCTTTGCATGCTCCAGAGCACTCCTGACATGAAGGCCGGTGTGACCTGCAAGAAAATGTTGCAGTCTGGAGTGTTCCTCTTTTCTGTGCCAAGCAACTGGCCTTTCAGGACGCCCTGTGTCATTTGTCTTCCTCCTGCAACACGGAGAGTTCCACTGACCCTGAGCACGCTCAGGCCACATCAGGGCGCTTTGGGTGGTTATGGTGCAGGGTTTTTGTTGCCTCGTTTGTGTGCGTGTTTTCACTAAATCCTCTCCAAATTGTGGGTTTTCCCCACCATGCTGTTACCTCCTTTTGGCTTCTCTGTACCCCTGCTTTTGTTATATCACTTATTACAAAAGGTACCGAGTTATATTACAGTATATAAACATAGCATGAATAGAGCATATTTTATATTACAGTTTACACTATACCACATTTATTTTATTTTATATTAATACAATTAAAAAGGTTACTTTTATATCCCACCTCCTCTTCTTTCAGGGAACCCAGGATGGCTTACACCACGTTCCTGCTCTCTATTGTATCCTCACAACAGATAGAATATGCTGAGATGTGGTGACCGGCCCAAAGTCACCCAGCAAGCTTCATGGCTGAGTGAGGGATAGAACCGCAGCCTTCTGAGCCCCAGGCCAAAACTCTAACCACCATCCCACACTGCCTCTCTTTGATACGATAAATGATATGAGGGGATATGAGATGACGACGTTTTGCATCATGTCTGCACAGTACCCTGTTCTACTCACAGCCCTTGTTGAAAAAGGACAGTGGAGGACGGATAATGGAACAGCTGGTTTGAAGCCGGCTGTGTCAATCTGATGGGATCAGAGTGGATAACCATTTCCTACAAATGAACAAACGGGCTCCCTGGCTTCTGGCTTACCTCCGCATTCACCTGCAGATACTGCCTTTTTAAAGCATTATATATTACTCTTGCTTACTCTGAGTTCAGAGTTCCCCCCAGACTGCAGGCCTCATCAGAGGGATGCCATGGTCAATTCTCACTTCCCGTCTGCTGCCAGATGAAATATCTGTTAATCAGCAATGGCACTTTTCTCTCCCAAATGAAGCGTGGATCGCCTCATCTTGGAGACGCCATCTATCCTGGCTGCTTCGCATCGACTAAAGACACCTTCTCTTTCACTGCACAGGGTGCATGGCAAATGTTACATGTCTAAAGACGATGGGGTGAATGCCTACAAAAATATTCTTGTAATTTCTCTGTGTTGAAGGAGAAGGCTGGGCAAGACCCTTGGAAGACAAGTGCCGCATCCGACCAGGTTTCCCCAAATACTCACCTCCAAAGTTGATGGCGCAAGAGGCCACGATGATGAGCACCCCTCCGACCAGTGCAATGACACTCAGAAGTTTCGCTACCCTTCCCAGACGCCGTGCCCCATCGATGTCTCCTTGCTGGAAGCTGTTACGAGACTGACGAGGAGGTAAAAGAGAAAAGCGGCATGGGAGAGACCATTAGGCAGGCTTTCCTTTCCCCGGAAAGTTATGGGAAATGCATTTTATTGGCATCTATGGGGAGGGCATGAACAGGGCAGTAGCATCCCAGGCCCAGGGGCCAAATCTGCCCCTCTGGAGTTCCCCAGATTGCCATGTCCCTTTCCCTGCCCTCACCCTCTTTCTCCCAACCATGAACATCTGGTGATTTCCTGACTTTGGTACAGTTTTTAAATTTTGTGCGTGTGTTGCTTCTGTGCAAATTGAAGCTCCTGTCCTAAGGCTTAGTTGCACGTAGAAGGGACTTTCAGCTAAAGCATGCTGGTCTTTGGGGTCCATCCCCTTTCCCTAGGGGGGGCCCTGCCCTGCCCTGCCCTGTCTGCCCCCAGACTGTTGTTCCTCAGAAATGGAATTCAGCCCTCAGGCTGAGAGTGCTTCTGCAGCCCTCTTTTTTGGAGGTATGAACTGTCAAGGGTATTTTAAAGCAGGTTTGCAAGAAGAAAACCTGCAAGGAGGTCAGGTCGCTTTTGAGAAGGTGCCTCCGCCTGCCTTTTCATGCAGGTGCACCTGCCCCATTGGTGCCGCCCCAGCCTGAGGCTGTAAGAAGCCGATGGGTCCCCTGGTCTTGCTCCTTGGCTGCCTTTGGCTCATGCAGTGAGGGAAGAAGCCGCAGGACAGGCCAGCAGAAGGAAAAGTGCTGGCGGCGCTGGCGGAGGGGGACAAAGGGCCCTGCCGCCCCGCCCCGCCCCCGTCGCGCTTACCATGACAGAGTAGACGAAGGCGACGATGTTGATGGGCCAGATCGGGCAGAAGCAGGACAGCGCAGCAATGAATATATAGTCCCGGGGCTTCTCTCCAGCCTCGCCAGCTGCGGACTCGGCCGCCGAGGCCTGCCGGCTCAGGCTGGCCCGTGGCGACCCGGCCGCTCCCGCCAGGTGTACCTGAGAGCCGGACAAGCTGCTCTTCACGACAGCCCGGGGCCCCCCGTTGATGCTGTTCTGGGGCTTCAGGTCATTCAGGGAGGCGGACTTGGAGCGGGCTGGGGGGCTTGTGGGCTGGGCAGGGGCCGTTCCAAGCGCCTCGGCCGAGCCGGCCTTCAGCCCCAGGACCTCCCCGTTCTGCTGCGGGCCCTCCACCGACTCCTCCTCGATGGTCACTGTCACCATCACAGGTGACGCAGGGACCTCCGATGTCGTGGGGCTCTGCGGGGGCGACTGAGGCTGCTCTTGCAGCTGCTCCTGGGCCTCATCCTGTGGCTTTCCTTGCTCCTGGGCCTGCTCCTCCTTCTCTTGCGGCTCCTGCTCGCCTGGGGGAGCCTCATTCTTCTCAGCATCATCCGACATGACGGGCAGATACCTGGCGGAGAATGAGAGGAGGGGATGTTCAGTGTGGGGGAACCACCAGGCTTTTTCCTGCCCATTTCTGGGCCCAATCCGCCGCAGAACTGCTTTGATATAGGATTGGGACCAGGGAAATGGGACATGATACAGAGCAGCATTCGGTGCCTCTGAAGCCATTGGGGGTGGGGGGCGGATTGCGGGAGACCCTTTCAGACAGCCCGTTGGACCTGTCTAAAGTAGCCTTCCCCCATCGGATGCCTCCTGAAGGTGCTGCAACTCCTCTATTCCCAGCCAGCATTTGGAGGGCACCAGGTTGGTGAAGGCCGGTCTGAAGCGAGGGCAGAAAACTGTCACCCAGATGTTTTTAGAGTACGACTCCCATCGGCCCTTACAATTGCCCTACTGGCTGGCCTGATCGGAGATGGAGCCCAGCACCATCTGGAAGGGCAAATGCTTGCTGCACTTGGTCCAGAGGGATGCGTGGACATAACCAGCGTTGAAAGAGTTACTGTTGCACAAATGGTCACTTGTGCTGTATGGCATGGGGGAGAACATTGGCTCCTCTATCTAGTAGGTTTTCTAGGACATGGATCATGGCTGTGGTGATGACATTATCATAAGTTATTTACAGGGAAAGGAAAATCTATGATACTCTGTCTTAAAACAAACCAACCCAGATAAAACAAATAAACCCAGATGACTTTGAGTATGCTTTAAAATAATAGATTCAGTAATAACTTATTCATTGTTCTCATGAAGTTTACTTGCTGGGAGAAGAAATGCACCCCACTTCCATCTCCCAGGTTGTCTTTGTTGTTACGTGCCATCAAGTCGGCTTCAACCTATGGCCATCCTATGAATGAAAGCCCTCCAGAAGGTCCTGTCCATGACAATTCCATCCAGCTCTTTCAAGTCTGAGGCAGTGGCTTCCTTGATGGATCCAATCCATTTCGTACTGGTCTTCTGCCTTTGACTTTTCCTCCCAGGACTGTCTTCTCCAGTGGGTGTTGCCTTCTCAGGATGTGTCCGAAGTGTGACAGACCCAGTGCTGCCATTTACCATAATATTGTAAAGTGGGGTTAGGAAGCTCAAGCCTGCGAGCCAAGCCTGGCCCACCTGAGGTCCCCCTCTGGCCCTCTGGGGCTCCTCGGGGGGGGGGCACACTCTCTTTCCTCCACACAGCAATTTGCTTGGTGGCATGGGGAGAATTCTAAATTTCAGATTCAACTATTATGCCTCTGATTTGGAACTTGATTTGGAAGTGAATGAGGGATACTTAGGAATGAACTTTTGCCTGTGAACATAAAGGAAACTTGCATACATTCAAACATACTTAGCAGCAACACACACACAGAATTTAAGACATAAATGCAGTAAAAGGAAATTGTTAAGTGAAGGAAATGTATTTTAAGAATATTTGTTGTATAGAGATTATTTTCTCTATTTTTTACCTCATAGCTGCCTTCCCAAGCCTAGTACCTCCAGATGTGTTAGGCCCAGCTTGAGAGTGATGGGAGTTGTAATCCAACATACCTGAAGGGCACCAGGTTGGAGAAGGCTGCCTCACAACTACAGCAGTGTTTAATCACAGAGTTCTGTGCCATCCTTGTGGCAGAGCACCATTTCTCTAACAAGAGTTACTCAGTGCATGGTGTAAATGAGCAGGCCGGAGAACTGTACGTGTCGTGTCGGATGAGGTATGATACAGAGGCGAGGGCATCCCACACACCTGGTTGGCTGCAGGATCTGCCTTCTTCAAGAGGAAGGACTCTGTTGAGAGAAAGTGACTGTTTGTTCCCCTCTTCCCACATGCTACAGGCTCCCATGATTCCCTGTGTTGTGTGCAGGAGGCTGGAGGGGCTGTGGAAATCCTCTTCTGCCAGAGCAGATCCTGATCAAACGCATCAAGTTTCTAAGTTCAGACTTTTTATACTTTTCTTCAAGTTCTGTGCTTACAAAGCTGAGCACCAGTTCATTACCAGGCACACCTCTGGTGCACATGTACAGGTGTGTGTTGCATGCATTGTGAGGAGTACACTGAAGGTGTACACATAAATCAGAACAAAAACCGAACTAGCATCTGAAAGAGTCACGCAAGAATGGGCTCAACTGCCTGTATCACAGCGTGGATCAAAGGAAGCTGGTTGCTCGCTGTCAGCTCTGGCTGTTATGCCGGCCAAGTCTACCACTCAGCAATCAGGACACTGTCACTGGTGCTCTGAGGACTTCCAGAGAAGACAGCTGTGATGCCCTCTACACGGGGCTATTACTTAAGGACAGTCCAAAAGCCTCGGCTAGGGCAGAACGAGACAGCCTGTCCACCAGAGGGTGCAGACTGACAGATCGCCCATTCTGAAGCATCCATCCAAGTTGCCAGTGAGTTTCCAGACTCAATCCAAAGTGTTGGTTCTCACCCCAAGACTTCAATCTGTATTTGCTTACCTGGGATCAAGTCCCATTGAACTCGAGAAGTCTTACTCCTAAACGTGTATAGAATTGCTCTATGAAAGTCCTGGAAGGCTGAAGTCCTAATGCTCTCAGTCTTCCTGCTATAACCACGCCAGGATCCATCCTTTAAGCAGATTAGTTTTGTTTTCAGTAGAAACACAGTCATCTCCATGCCAGTTTTGGACTAGGCACAGATGCATTTGCCAATTTCAGTTTCTCTCAGCTCATTTTTTTATTGTTATTGTTATTTTTAGCTTTGCTGCTATGCTGGGGTGGCCAAACCGAGGCTCTGGAACCGCATGCAGCTCTTGGAGTTTATTTTGCAGCTTGCCACCTATGGGCGCCCACTTATGCCTCACAAGCATCTGATATTTACAGTACGTGGCTCTTCTGTTGAGCAACTCTGGCCATCCCATTTGTGTTTTAACTTTGTAAACCGCCCAGAGAGCCTTTCTGGCTAGGGGGTGGTATATACATGAACTGACTAACTAAATATTTCCAGTCTTTGCTTCAACCCTTTCTATTGCAGTTTGATTTTTAAAAATATGAATGTAAATGTGTGTGCATTTTTTGTGTGAACAAAATTTTTGTATGCAATTTTGCCTAATATAAAAATGTCTGCATGCAATTCCCCTTAATATAATGCATTTAAAACATTCTTTTCATGTATATTTAGGTTTGTTTATTACTGCATGTATTTCCTGCATTTGCTTCAAGGAGCTCCAGGCTACAAGCTTCCTCCCCTTGCTCCTGCTCTCCATATTATCTCCACAAGAACCCTGTGAGGAAGGTTAGGCTGAAGATTAGTGGCTGGTCTTCATGAGCTTCATGGCTGAGTGGATCAGCCTGCTCCTAGTCCAAAATGCTAAGTACTACACCACACTGTACATTCTCACTACATGACACTGCACATTTTTGTATATTTTTTTAATCGGAGAGCTCTGTTGCAGAATTTGAAGAAGGACATATTTAGCAGGATAACTGATGTTCAGTTCACTCCTCTTCAAAAGTGTGAAATTAGATCATTTCTCATTAAAATACAAACCAAACACACGTCTTTGCAATCTGGATCTCTTTCCAAGAGGAGGTTCACGCAGTAGCTTCCCTGCTGTCCTTCACACTTTCATTTCTCAGAGAACCTGAAGAACTTGATTATTGATATGCTTTGTTTGTTTGCTTGCCTTAGTTGCTATATTGTTAGTCCACAGATTTTGCTTTTGAAATAGTGAGCCTCTGTGCAGTTTTTAGACACAGTGGTATATAACACACTAAAATAATCATAACATTGCTAGCATTGAGTGTCCTCTCGGGATACCACCCTCATAACTGCTGTGGTGCTTTGCAATTCTAAAGCAGACCTGCACCATATACAGGATTGTTAGCCACATTAGCAAGATCCCAAGGTTCCAGATGGACATATCAAAGTACCAATGCAAAGAGTATTAATTATCTTTATACCCTGTCTTTCCTTCCATCAGAACTCGAGATGGGATTCCTAGGAGGCAATCTCCCATCAAGCAGATCTGTTTTGCTTCCATACTACATCATGTGCCTTCAGATTGTGCCTTACTAACTTAAATGGGACAAAAGTCAGCAAAGAAAATGACAGAGACACTTTGCTCCAAAATATCTCAAATGACAAAGATCCTGCATCTATTTACCAGGCTTTTCAAATGACAAGGAGAGTTTACACCAGATAAATGAAAGAGGTTGAAGAAAACAATATCACATCAATGAACCAACAGTGACTGGATGTTGATAGATGGCAACAGATCTTTCACTACAGTGAGATGGGCAAAACAGAAGCAGACCCTCCCCATCAATGAAGTGCAGGTTGAAATTGAATTACAGACTGGTATGGGGCGGGGGGGGGGGGCAGAAGAGGAGCGCTATACCAAATGTTCTCAAACTCACTAATTCTACAGAAGAAAAGTGACTTGCTTGATCTTAAATCTCTTTCCACAAGAGGCTTCTTTAGGAAAATCCAGGCTGGAACTGGCCACTCCTGGCATTAGCTTCTGCACCACCCTTCCGTTCCCGCCACCCCCTGCACTGCAGGGAGCCGTGCTGTGGCTCCCCTTCGACAAGGGATGATACCATTTCTGCACTTCGGGGCTGGCTGACCTGTGGAAGAACGGAGGCAGACGGCCAGGGCAGCCATGGCTCTTCTGCAGAAGTGGCTGAGTAAAGCAGCCATCCCCTGCCAAGAATGCAGACGGCTGAGCCGGTGCTTTTCCTGCAACCTGGCAATTGGCATCCTTCAGGGGTGATCAGTCCTTCATGATCCCTCCGCAACCCCACCCCCACCTTTGCAAGTGTGCTCGACACACACACGTTCTTTCCGACTGACACACGGGCAGCATGCTGATGAGGCTGCCTTGCACATGGGTCCCCACAACAGATTTTCTGACCGACCCAACCACTCAAATCCTATCGGGAATGTCTCTTTATAACAAGCACAGGCAGGCCCTGACATTACTGGCTGTCTCACAGGTAGTGTTACATGCACGCACACACATGCGCACACACATGCGCGCGCGCGCGCACACAGAGAGAGAGAGAGAGAGAGAGAGAGAGAGAGAGAGAGAGAGAGTAGCTAGCATTATTTAGCATTAATTCTGAGAGGGAGAGGGAGAGAGGGAGAGCTGAGCTTTCCCTCTTGTTTGCACACAAACTGATCATCCAGCAACTGACAGAAGAACCCCCATCACAAATCCTTGGCCAGCATTTGTAGCTTGGCTTGACACCTCCAATTATCCTCGATCAATCTGTCTCCGAGCCCAGCATCCCAGGCAGTTCTAGCCCAGCGACTGGCCCTGACAGCACCTGGCCTGACTCAAGCAGATGAGCTGCTTGGGGGAAAGCTGTTTTCTCAGTTTCTTCAACTCACACCCTGCTGATGTCATCTTGAGTGACATGATGGTCCAAACTCTCTCTCCCTCTCTCACACCCTCACCAGGCCATTACATCACATCCTTGCCTAACTACCATTTTCTCTCAATAGAAGAAGACACACTGCTTGGTGCTGATATAGGTGCTCCCTGTTCTCTGACATAAACTAAGTTGGTTTAATCTTTCAAAGCATCCCTGGGTCACATTTGCAAAGCTGGTCCTGCCAAAAGACATGCAATTAGTTTTTGAAGGGCTGAGAGAGCTGGTGGGACATCTAACAAAGCTTGAAAGGAACATCTAACAAATGGATTGAGGATTCTTGTTCAGTAAAAGCACCATCCTGTACATATTTACTGAGAAATAAGACCCATGAGTTCAAAGTCCTGCCAGTAAGTCAGTACAGGATTACCACCTCCATTACACATACTTTATACTATCAGAGAAGTTTTGGTATTCTGCACATGAGAAGGCGCAAGCTCAGAAGATACTCTCTGAGCCAACCGTTACAGCAGCAGTCTTTGATTCCCATTTTAGAGTGGATTCCCCTTGTCAGCGAAACCATTTGGTGGCAGGAGGAGAGAGCCTTGAAGTCCGCTGTCCATCATTCCTGTCCTCCAGCCATCCTAGCAGTTGGGCCCAGCAACATCTGGAAGGCCGCAGCTGCAGCATCCCTGTGGTGTAGGACAAAAGCCCGCCTCCCATGCGGTACATGTGTGGCTCACCCCTTCGTGTCTAAAGCCATCCTGACTGGTCAATCCCTGCCTTTCAAGTCTCTGCTCCTCACAGGGATGCGTTCACAGTCACACCCCCACCCACAAAGACACACACAGCCAAAACTTTCTTCTGGTTGCCTCCACCCTCACCTTCTCCTTCCTCCTGTCTCAAATCATCTCAGTGTCACACCCACTGAAGCAAAGCCAGCAGGTTCCTGCCCCTGCCTCCTTTCCTCCAAGTCTGGTGTCAATTCATTTCCACACTTCCTTGGCGCCTTCCTTGCTTTGCTTTCTTTCCTACACCCACGTTGTTCTCTCTCTCCTCTCTCTTCAGTTTGCTCCCCACACCCCTGGGCTTCTTTGCCTATTCCCCCCAAATTCATAGACCACATCACTACTTCAGCCATGGAGAGCTCCTTCTAACCCTTTCCTCACTCTGTCTCCACCCTCATTTTCTGCCCTGCCTTATCGACCTCTCCTCACACCTATCCATCCAGCCTTCCTCCTTACAGCCCCTCAACAATCTTTCTGCATCCCACTGAGCACCCCACCCTCTCCCAAAACATTGCTTGCATGGAAAACGGCTCTTCTTCAGTCTCCCCCGTTAAAGTACCTTTCAGAGATGTGTGGGGCAATCCTATGCATGCCCACTTAGAAGTAAGACAGTTTTAGTTTAATGGGACTAACTCCCAGGTGTGTGTAGGATTTTAGTTTTAGCCATTGCATGCCACATGCTCCTTCAGTCCCTTTGCAGTTTAACCTCTGCTGGAATCCTCCCCCCCCCCCCCCCCCCGCCAAATTAAAAAAAAAAAATGTTTTCGGTTTCCCTCACTCACACCCATTTTTGAATGTCATTATTCCTGGGCTTTTCCACTTCAAACCTCCCTTTCCCACCCACCTCGATCCCCTTGAGCACACTCTTCCATGGCTTCCCGATCCCTCAAGCCCCCACCCCATTCACAAGCCCTTCCACCCACAAAACCCACACCCTGCAGGCGCACACCTGAGACCCCCTGCAATATCTTTCCCCACCCACCGACCTGCCACTTTCCTGGTTCACCTCCTTCCTCCCAAGTGCCCCTCGCACACAGTCGCCCAGCGTTTCCTCCCCATTCCTTGTGATCCCCAGCCCAGCTCCCAAAGACAGCGCCAACACAACCAGGGATGAAATTCAGGGCACGGCAAATTTTCACTCCACCCTCCAACTCCTTCTACCTGTCCACTGCTCCTGACTGCGCCTACCCCTGCTTCACACCCCCACGGCCAGATCCCCCCACGGCCCCCCTCGTGCCAGCAACCCCTGCCCGTGCGTAAGAACACTCTCTTCGCCCGTTCACACCCAGCCCTGCCTGCTCACTTCGGTCCCTTTGGTCTCCCCCGCCCGCTTGCCGCAGAACCGTTATCCTCCTTTCAGACAGATGGAAAAAGGAAGGGATTCGAGGGAGGATGGACCGAGGCGAGGGCTCGTTCTCATACCTGGGCTCCTGGCTGTGTCCAGTTGGCAGAAGGGGGTGGGGTGGGCAAATGGCTGGCAAGATTGGTGCCCCCCCTCACTCACACATCACACCCTCCCTCCTCCTGCCGTAGCCCGCCTTCTTTCCCCTCCCCACCCTGAGGAATAGATGGAAAGATGCAGCCTCCGCCCCCCCAACCCACCCCTCTTACTTGCTCACTCGGCAGCTTTGTCTGCAAAGACGCCCCTTCCCCTCCCTTTGCACTGATGCGCGTCAAATGGTCTCATCGACCCCGCTAGTTCAATGCAAGCTGGGGGGAACTGTGGTTTGGGTTTTATGAAGGATCAGCTGATCTGGTGGGGGCAAGACATTAGCAGAGATGGTGCTGGTGCTGGAAATGTCCCACGCATTCCGTGTTTCTCCTCCAGCCCCCTGCAATTGACGAAAAGTTCACATCGCCAAGCCACAAGTGACTCGAGTCCCAGCACCACTGCCATCATTCCCTGTGGGACTGCCCAAAGGATCAAACGTGCGCAGAATAAAATGGAGCCAATGGAAGAGATTGGGGAAGACCTCCTGGGTGGGACTTTAGGGTGCCCCAGTGAAAGGGATCCCAGGCTTGGCAAAAGAGGTGGGGGGGGATGGCTTGTGCCTTTAGTCCAGCTGAGCTCAGCAATTTGGTGCAGAAAATCTGTTTTGGGGGAATCCTGCTTCCGTAGCCCTCTCCCCCCAGGAGAAAATTATATAACATCTCTCACTTCCCGTTTCTCATCCATTATTTATAACCTGCCCTGGCTGCTGCAGGAGGGAGGGAGGGAGAAGCCCACGAAATTAACCCTCCTCACACCCTGGCAGAGCTCCAGCGCAGCATCTGCCCAGGTCTTCACCAAGGCTCTAGCACCGCCACCCCGATGCCCACCCCATAAGGCAGTACTTGCTCTTTCCTATAAAGGGGCATCAAAGCAGCAGCAACTGAGGAGAGTCAATCGCCCTATGTAATCATGGGAAACAAGAGAAGTGTTTTGGGAAGCCCACTTAGAGATGATGTTCGCAACTTGGTGTTAGATGCATTAGACATTTTAAATAAGCATGAAGGTCCCAGGAGGAGATCACGATGATATAAAGAGGTGCAGAGGGCAAGAGAGACCCAGAAGCACAATACTTTTCCTTTACGATCAAAATAGCACAAACAGGTTGACAATAAACAGACACAGTGTGGATTTTTTCCTTCAATGTTTTTACTAAAATCTTTTGCTGTTGAGACACAGATCCAGAAAGGGTGCGTGGGAGAGGGAAGGAAATGGGGTAAGGAGGAGGGAATAGGGAGAGAAGATAGATGGACATTGCTTCATTACATTTTGTGTTAACAAAGAACAAAAACAAAAAGAAAACACAAAGGAGGGTTATTTTAAATGTCAGGGGATTTTTAATATATATATAATACAAAAAAGCGAGACTCTAACCCCAAACGGTGGGGGTTGCATGCAACAAGGAAGGTGTTCAGCAGGTGGGGCATCAATACTTGGTGTGGAGGGCTAACGAGCTTGGAACACAAATCACAAGAGAAGCTGAGGGAATGGAGCATTAAAACAGACACCATGGAAGAATGAGGTGCTAGGGCATGGAGGGAAATTCAGAACAGCTCCTCAGCAGGGGAATGGAGGGAACTCCACAATGAAGACATGGAGAATTAATCCTTCTCCACCCCAGCCTACTGCAGCCCCCCTGCTACCCCAGACTTGAGCTCCAGGCACCTAAGATGCCCGAGTCCTGATGCAGTCCTTATAACTTCTCTGTGGGTTCCCAAGCTCTTTCAACCCCTCAGTCAACACCCCATTATTCCCAACTCTGGGCCCTTTCTCACTGCAATGCTGCCCCATAATTTTGTCCTACAGTTACCCCAGCCTTCTTTCAGTTCCTGAGCTGGGTTTAAGTCCTTCTGACCCATTGTCTCACTCGGTAGTTGATTTAAGGGCAATAGGGGGCGCTGCTGGAATGAGCAAGAGACCTAGACAAACATTGTAGCCATTTGGCTAACAACAGGAACAGGAGTGGGTGCATGGATTTCCAGGACTCTTGGGGAGGGGGGGTAGAAGTTTAGGGTACTAGAGCTGGGGAATCAATAAAATAAGAATGTTCTCTGAACGCACATCAAAGCCCTTCCATGGCCCTCTGAACAAGAGCTGCCAGCTTGGTTGGGCAGGTGCTTTCCTAGCCCCAGAATTTCATGAGCACAGGCAGGGGAAGAGAATGAATGAAACCACCATTAAATTAGAAACCCAAGTATGGTCACTGCATATCCATCTGGGTTTGGAGGCTCCAGCTGCCAATGAGGGAGAGGGATGGGACTGGGTGGGTTGGCTCCTGCCTCCCTGCTCCCAGAAATCACCAGGGCTGTGTGGGGAGGGCTTGGCTCACAACCGAAGCTCCCTCCATGGGCAGCACCGTGACGGCAGCAGGAGGTGGGGCCGAGACGGCTGCCGCGAGGGGGCAGACCTCACCTGTACCTGTGAAGGAAGATAGATGCAGAAAGTCAAATATGCTTCTCAGCCTCAGGATAATTATTCTGAAGAACTACTGTTAATACATAGTTTGCTTTCTGTCACCCTCCACTGCCTTGAACAGCAGTGTTTCGGTAGAAGACACAGCTGGTTTCATGCACTAAAAAGAGATGGATGAAACTGCCTTTTTCTTCAAAGTATCTTATTTATCCATAACTTGGAGGGGCGCTCCCCTCCCTAAAAGCAGAAAAAAGTGTCTTCTCAGGTGCACATTATCTATTAAAGCAGATTGATAGGACTAATTTTGCACTAACTTGAAGTTTTTGAGGCCACTTACTGAAGTCAATACAGAAACTAGAATTTATCACCTAAATATTGTGATGCTCAAATCACAAACATATGGGTAGAAATTTGCTATCATAGTGCATACTAAAAGGTACCATTCTCACAGATTAGTTCCCTTAGGGCACTCCATCTCTTAGTTCTCCAAGATGTGTGATACATTCTGACAAGGGAACACATCCACACCAGTTAACTGGGCTGAAAAAAATCACCTATTAAACCTGTAACATCTTATGTAAATTTGTTAATGTGCTGGTATCCCATGATCAATGGAATCTCAAAACCAACAGATATGTGATATTGGATAGGAGGTAACGTCTTTAAGGGCAGAAAACAGCCTAAAGACCCAGTAATGCACTGTATCTGTTAACATGCAAGAAAATAATTGTTTCTTGCTTTTTGAGAAAAGACATGATACCCTGGAACAAAGTGCAGATGACAGTAGTCAAAAGAATTGTGTGATGCATCTTTTTTAACAAAACTTCAAATCCTAACTATGTCTTTATGAGATGAAACTGCAGAAGGATCCCCCAGTCACATATAAATACCCAAACCTAGACAGATACTATTATATGCAGGCACTTGAATGCTGGCACAGGGGTATTAATTTAGGATGCAGCCGCCCCAGGGGAGTTGGGGTTCTATCTTCTCCCAAGGAATATAGGACACCTTGATACCCTATGGGTCAGATGGGTCTCCCCACCCCATTCCCCAGGACAGAAGGAAGCGGCTCTTGCCTGGTGGCCCGGCCAGCGTTTCACCGCAGCGGTTGGCCCTCAGTGGCCGCAGCCCCTTCTCCTGCGTGCGTCTGCAGATGCCCGTTGAGCTGAGCCGGGGTCTTGCAGTGCACGCCACACAGCTTGCAAAGGAAACGCTCCAGCCGCGGGGCGGCCAGTCCGTGGTCCTTGACCGCGTGGACCCTGAGGTAGGCCGCTGTGGTGAACCCTACGGGAGGGGGAGAAGGACAAAAACCAGCCAGGTCAGTGTCCGGCCTAACAAAAGCGTACCCCAGTGTCCTGCAATACTTGGCTGTGCCTCACCCTAGAGGCGGCTGCGTCTCAATAGCTAGTTAAGGATCCATTGCAACGAGCCTCCCTGATTAAGAGACAGCTTCTTTATTCTAGCAACAGCTGCATCTTGCTGCCAGGCAAGCTATTCTGAATGAACAGTCTAGCACACCCTAGGGGCAGCTGCATCTGGGCACTAAGGAAAACCAATATGAAGAACTTCAGTTTCTCAACTCCAAAATATCAGAACTACAATCCTAGACTATATTTGTATGAGAAATGTGAAGAGGTGGTGGTCCACTGAACCTCTCCCCCATACTTGTAGCAGATCTACATTTTGTTGCTTCAATTATCTGCAGTACTTAATTCACTATAAACTACTTACAGTTGTAGCATAATTTAAGAAAGCGATTAACAGTAAACCACTGTATTATGGTTCTGTGAATCCAGATATACTATATGAATAATGTAATTTTAATGTTTTGGTAAAGTATAATGGATTATGCACATTATCCTGACAGATAATCAAGGAGTTATCACAGAGGAAAAGCATAGTTAAAATAAAAGAATCCACTGTGACTTGACTATTTCTATCAAGCTTGCATATTATCCAACCACTTTTGATTAATGTTTTAAGGATATCAATATTTTACCAGAAATAGATTGGATATTGAGAATATCAGATGATAGAGCATCCAATGGAACAGATGTATGCACTTTAGACGTTAGCAAGTCCCCTTTATTCAATGTTTAATGTATTCATGTTCAATGTATTCAGGACCATATATTTCTACCTAATAATTGAACTGTATTTATGTATCTATATGGATATATATAGCCGTCGGGCTAATGGGTGGGATAAAAATGTATTTAATAAATAAATAATCAAAATTAATATTTACAATGAATTACAGTATCTTTCACTTACACAGTACACTGTAGCCATTTAAGCTTGTGACAAAATTGAACAAATGGGAAGCTTGGACTTGCAAATGAGAGAAAGAAACATTAGACGCCAGCTACTGTGCCAAGCAGTTGCTTACTCTAGTCACAAGATGGGCAGTTTGAGCAGCAGCCACATACCAAATAAAATAAATGCCAGTTGCTCAAAATGGTTCTTCAAACCTGATTCACTTCATTGCAATATTATATAGCAATATTCAAGTAAGGCCTCATTGCAATTCTGTGATCAGTGTTCACATAGAACAACTTTATTTCAAGTGTTTGTTTCCTTCGAGCTTAGCCTTCTGAAGCAGGCCTGTTCAACATCTGACTTATTATGATGAATGCAGCCCACCAGCCACATAGTGCACCTGTTGAGTGGTTAAAAACCTCGTTTTCCACTATACATGGCTCTTTAATTGTGTTCAAGTTAGTTCAAGCTGTACAGTCCTCTATAAAAACTTGGGAAAAATTAGCTGCATCTGACAAAATCAGCAAGTGAAATATTGGGTAACATGGAAACTGAAACTTGCTGACATTCACTGCTGAACAGACTAGTCAAACATGACTCTAAATGGCAACTGAGCTATTCAGGGAAGAAAACATTATGGGGCAAGCAAATCTTCAGATACCAATTAGGGCTACAATCTTATGCAAGTTTACTTGGGAGTAAACCCCTCTGAATTTTATGGGGACTTAATTCTAAGTGAATGGACACAGGATTGGGCCAACTGGTGTATTTCCTTCTCATCTTCAGATTCTCTTCTGCAAATAGCCTTGTCTCTTTACCTTTGTTGCACAGTTCACAGACATGATTCGGCCCTTGGCTGTGTACTTTCATGTGGTCCGTGATGTAGGCAGCGCTCAGCATCTTTCCACACACATGACATGGCACTTTCTCCTCATGACGGACAGTGTGAGCACGCAGCCGATCCTTGGTGGCAAAAGCCGCTTCACATGTCTGTAGAAATTTATTTATTTATTTATACATACACATATTTATAGGCCGCCTATAACTGCTCAGGCCTTCTTAGGCAGCAATGAAATGAAGGAAAGGAATCAGTGGAAAAAGGGACAACTTCCTAATGCAATTAGAGACAAGACTAAGAAAATTAGACCACGCATAAGGTTCCCTTTAAAGTAAAGGGTATCTGAATTTTACTTCCTTTTGCAGCAGCAAGTCAACCATGGAGTCTTAGGTGAATATAAAGATGGGGGTGAGGGGAGGATACAACAGTACTGTCAATAGAGAAAGGTACCTCACATTTGAAGGGCCTCTCTGTTGAGTGGACTTGCCGCACATGGCTATTCAAATGGTCCGGCCTGTGGAAGGGAAAGAAATATGTAATGTACATGGATGTGAGGATATTTTAATTCTTTACTATAAATTTTAATTTTCCATCTCAATCCCAGATTATATCTATCCTTTAAATAGGCAAGGGTAGCCTTTGCTTGTCACTCCAAATCAACATTATACTAACAAAACTGATGTCCTGCACTCCAAATGTTTTTAAGCAATTGTATTAGCTCTCTTATAGACAGGAATCACACACAATCCACCACCTAAAAAAACAAACTGGTAGAACTCCTGCTCTTTATGCCTACAGAAGCAGCATATCTTCAAACAGAGCTTTCTGCATCACTACTTCTCCACTTTAGCAAAAGCTGTAACTCTTCTTGCAGTTCAAGAGTGATACTATTAAAAAGTAGCCAACTATAAGTCTATCATGTCCCATACTATGCTCTTGAAAATTCAGGATATATAACATAATTTGAAGCTTTCACTAGTATAATAGGTGGGTTTCAAAAAAACTATTAAGAATGGCTCTTCATCCACTCAGTGATTAATTTGAAGTGCTGCAGATGGATACTAAGTAATGAATGTCTAGGGTGGAAAACAGGCCAGCAGCACCTAGTTGATAAGGATCATACATCAGAAAGTCAGGTGAAGGTAGAATAAAGAACTTAGGAATGTTGCCAGCTGTTTAGAAAGGTTAGAAAATGCAGTGTTCAGAAATGGGAGTGGCTGAATTTAACTTTGAATATATACTGGTAGCATGCCCAGGGCAAATTTCAAGTAATGCTTAATTTATTTGGTTTTGTAGCAGGTTTCTAGCCCTTGTGGTAATGAGAAGAAACTGAAGCTGTGTCAAAGATAGTAAGGAAAAGAAATTGATAGTCAGGTGTTATGTCTTGTCTTATATAGAATCCTGTACATCCTGTGTGTGCACAGATCTTCTTTAAAAATTAAGCAGATTAACACCTTATGTCCTCAAGTTGCAGTTTTTACAAAGGGCTAAAGGACACAGTTCCTTTATTATTGTACATCAGGCCTGCAGACTCTTACAGCTCTGAAACTACATTGGAAACTTTCATTTTTGGTAAACAAATGAAACAAGTGAACAGATTGCTTCACTGCTCTCATTTATGTTAGGAGCTGTATCAAGCACACTCTCTAGGAGCGCACAGTAAAGTCTAAGTGTCATGGGACAGTAAGTGACACATTAACTTCTCAACATTTCCTTATATGCAAATACTATGAATGACAGAATGTTTGGTATTCCATGTAACTGCAAGTTCATGTAGAAGCTGAACCTAATGTAGGCACTGAAATGGTCTTAGTTCAAAAAGCATGGAATCCTCTTGATTGTAGAGAAAAGGTAACAAAACTGATTCCAGACTCCTCCCCCTTCCCACTTTTTTTTCCAGGTTGTGGCCCTTTAGCACTACTTGATATTGTCCTCTCCTCCTCCAACTGAAAATGTCATATTTTTGCATGAAAAGTTCATCATCTTTCAAAATCTAAACCCTGGAAACATAACTACAGAGAAGTTCCACATCCATACCACTGCGTAAGTTAAAACAAGGTCACCTTTTCAAGCTGTGGACTAAACCCGCTGCATTTTTGAACTAGGGGAAAAAATGTGCTCTCCCTTTTAAAGCTTTCGGTCATGGGACTTCATGTGAGAATTATGTCTGAAAATCAAGAAACTTGTACAGGAGGGAACGGATGACTGCTAGTTGATGAAGAGCACAATACAAATTTGCTAAACAATCCCTATTTCTCCTAATCTCTGCCATGTTATTGCAGTCTCTGCAAAAACATTCAACATTTGGAATATTAAAAACAAAACAGATCATTCAAAATTATATATGACTCCATTAACATGGATTTTGGTATTTCTGGTGCAGAGTAAACATCTTTACCCTTTTGCATTATGCAAGTAAATCAATGACTTTAAACTTGTTTTCATTTGTGCTTGTGTCAAACTCATGCAATTTCTTCTAATCACCATTTGCAGTCTCAATTGCATGTTTCAATATTTTAGCATCTTGAAGATATTCCAGATTCTTGACAGTTTTCCATCTTCCATTCTGGCATTTATGTGCAATGTTTTAGAACAGGAAATGTTTTGCAATTATTGAATCTTCTGATCTACATTCACAGGTCAGCTGCCAATATGGTGTCATAATGCGATTACTAAATCTTCACCAATTTAGTTTTGAAAGTGTGGTGTTTTCTTTCCCAATTTCATCTCTTTATCTGTTGATCTTAAAGCCTATTCAATGTGTAAAACTTGTATATAATCTGGTATCTTCTCAGAGTGTACCATTTCAGAGTACAGGTATGGGGATCTCTTCCGAATGCAACTGCATGTTAGAACAAACTGTTCCATGTACCTGGAAAAATCTTAATTTGCTCTTCTTCCTAACGTGCTTGTTTTATATGTATAGGGTCATCATCTTCTTTTACATGGAGACACACTGAAACATGCCATTCTATCTGTTGCCCAAAATGATACTTTTAAGGAAGGACCATGCCTTTTAATCATACCTGAATTTGCCCCAAAATCAATAGTATTACCTTGGAACTAGAGCTGTATCTAGCTTATATTATCCCTTTCCAAATACTTTCTAAAATTTATCTGTTCTATTGCACAGGTTTTCTGAGGTTCCAAGATTATATCTAAGGTCTCCCAACATGCCAAAATTCCAGCAAGAAAACTTTGGTAACAGGTGCAACTTCAAAGGTAACCAAGAAACTGCCACTCACTCTCTGGTATCATGATCCAAAACAATCAGTGGCAGGAATGGGAACACTTTCTCATTAGAGTTATCCTCTGCTGAAAATTAACCAGTGAGCACACCCACCAACACATGCGCTTTCCTCTTTGTCACTCAGGCAAACATGCATACATTGTTTCTTCATCTGTGCAGGACTCCTCCAGGAAGGGCCCTGCTGCTACAATTTAAGTGGGTTGAATAGAATTCTCATGTACTTTATGAATAGAATTCTCATGTACTTCACTTTTCTGGAGAGCTTTCTTAAGGCCTGGAAAAAATTAGACATGACTTATCAGGGAGGTGCAAAGGAGAAGGGGCTTGATTTGGCTCACATATTTGGTAACCACTAGTCTTTGGTTATTTTGCAACGTCCTCCTAATTCAAAATAGTTCAGTATGTGATCTGCTAAGGCTTACTCTTTACAGGATGAAATGCTCTTTCCAAATGCAAACCTCTTTCTCATGTAAGCCCTACAAGAATCCCATCTGACATCCCTTTAAACCTCCCCACATCCTTGACTCCCTCGTACCGGGAGAAACTCTTCCCACAATGGCTGCAGATATACGGCTTGTGCACAGCACCATCATGCGAACGAACGTGATAGCTCATGCGGTCCTTCCGCTTGAACCGCTGCTGGCAGACAGGGCACTGGTAGGGCTTCTCATCTGAATGTGACAACTTGTGCCGATTGAGATGGTAGACGTCCCGGAAGGCTTTCCCACACATCTCACATGCATGATTCTTTCGGATGCGTTTGCCTGATGCTGTAGTGGTCACCAGCCCTGCACCTGAACCTGCTGTATTTCCTGCACCCTCGGCAGGGGCAGGAGTTGCTGGGGTTGTACCACCAATGGCGGAAACACTAAGCAAGCTGAGGGGAACCATGGTGGGCATCTTCATAGTTGTGGGTCCAGCACGAGAAGCTTTGGCCCCTGTGTGAATGGCTTCATGGCGTCGCAGGTTGTAGCCGTTTTTGAATTCTTTAGCACACAGTGAACAGATGTAGGGCCCTTTGCTCTTCGGCTTCTTCTGGACTTCGCCTGCCTGTGGTGTGGCAGGAGCTGCCTGGGGTGTTGGGGCTTGGGTGGTTTGAGTGGGTGGTGCAACCTGCCCACCACCACTCTCAGAGGCTGAAGGTTGCTGCTGTTTCAGGGCAGCCGTGTCTACTGTAGAAGCAGATGGTGCAGAACCGGTGGCAGCAGCAACCACTGCAGCAGCTGCTGCTGTTTCCTGGGCTGCAGCCAAAACAGGCAGGAGGTCCACTTGGAGGGACTCAGCGGAGGTGGCTGTCTGTTGAGGAGGAGCAGTTGTGGTGGCAGTCTGAACAGAAAAAAGATTGTATAATTGAATAACAATGATGAACAATGAATCCTGAAAGCCTGCAGTATTCTAGAAATTTGAGATGTGGGAAAGAGAAGCAAATTCCCATTTCAAAAGCAGCCGTTACTTATTTAATAAGGAAGCTTGAGATCATCTTAGCTTAAAATCTAAGGATGGCTGGCAGAGCAAAGGAGAGTGTAGTTACATTTATTTATTTAAAACATTTATATGCCGTCCTTTGCAGCAGCCTCAGGACAGCTTACAAGAATAAAAGACCAATATAAATAACAATATAATATTATAAATAACATTCCATAATAACACAATTAACCACAATATATCCTCTTAATTAAAAAGAAATAAAAAATAAAAACATGACTGTACAAAAATTAATAATATTATTAAAATTATGTTATTAAAATGATGGTTAAATAAAAAGGTCTTTACCTGGCACCGGAAAGAGTAGAGGGCTGGCGCCAGGTGGACCTCTCTGGGGAGCATGTTCCATAGTCTGGGTGCCACCACAGAGAAGGCCCTCCTCTGCGTGGATACCCTCCATACATCCCTCAAAGAGGGTTCCCAGAGCAAGGCCTCCCCTGCTGATCTTATGGGGCATGAGGGCATATAGGGGAAGAGACGTTCCTTCAGGTATCCAGGTCCCAAGCCATTTATATGGGATTGTGCCACGCCATCCTCAGGTCTAGCCAATCCCCTCTTTCTAGGTAACATGTTTTCTCCTAACTACTATTTTCTTCAAATAAGCCTACACTGATTAGTTGTGTAGTGCAAAATAACTGGGGACATGCTATCTCCATTGCTGATACTGGGTGAAGTCCAACTAGAAAAAGCAAGTCACATCTGAGATGCCTTGGCCTGTGCCTCCAACTGTCATCTTGTTTGCAGGGTATGCATGATTATAGAGAATGCATATGCTTGGGTGATATGCATCATGTACCTTACTGCATGGAAGGTAAAACCATTGGCATGTGTTGGTGCTCCTTGAGGGAAGTTGGGGGCACAGAATGCATGGATCAGTTGTTGGGGGGAAATAAATTACAACAGGCTGTGAGTGAAGTTCAAGCGGGACTATCAGCTAAAAAAAATCACTCACAAGCTTCACTGAATAGTTAGGTCTTTGCTTAGGATTCAGTAAAGAGCTAAACATGTCAAGGTTAGTAAGTTTCACCTTTGCCAAAAGGTCCAGAATCTACATGGATACTATTAGTAGATTCCAAATTAAAAAGCTGGTATCCCATACCAAGTCTTGAAAAATCTGAGCCACCATTTATACACCACAATAAGTGCCTTACCACCAGCCTTAGGGCACTAGAAACTTCATCTAACCAAATTGTTTAATTGTTGCAGAAACTTTCATTCACATTCTTAGGTTGTATTTAATCTCATAGTTCTAATTCTTCACCTCAGGTGGTTATAAACTAGCCTGCTGGACATCAAGGGCAAAGTTCTTGCTGATCGCACTATTTTAATCACACTGAACAGAAAATGACCCACCTTTTATCCCACCATACCAAATGATTTAGGTTTCTTCTTAAGTCTAACAAACCGCAGCCATCAATTTCACTCAGGTCTGTGTGGTTGCTCATAAACAACTAACAATTTCCAAAAATATTTTAAGATTACATCAACCTTGCAAATGAGTCTGTGACATTTACCAGGCCGTTTGTTCATACACAAACATGTATTAATTATTTTTAGCATATTTATGGACATGGGGAGAGGCCAACCATTTTCTGGTTTAAAAAACCTGTGCTGCTTGCCATAGGCAACCAGCTGATGAGCTATTTATAAGCTTAGATTAGGAGGGAACTTTATCTGGGGAAATCTGATTGATTTTAAAATACGAGATCTTTACCTTACCCATGCATATGTCTGTTAGATCTTTAGAATCACTGGCTAAGAGCCTAGTAAATGGTGTGAATTTGTGTCTAGAGCTTTGCTGTAACTAAAAAGATGTGAATCTGATCATTCCCTTGGATGGAAAGCTGCTAGAAGCCCCATGTATGACCAAGATGTAAAGTATAGGAATTAGTTAAATACGGTTGCTGACTTTTAGAAAAAGGAAATTCAGAGATTTGGGGCAAGAGCCTCTAAGACACCAGTTTGTTTTCTTGGCGAAAATATTTACAACATATTGATAACAAATTACAGGGTTAAAAAACAATATATTCTTGCAAATTAAAAAATGTCATTTGAAATGAATCCTAACAATTAAGAAACTAATTCCAATGAAAACATGAATATAGTCAATGGGCCCAGACTAAGCCACTTTATTCTGAGTCTCTTATAAGGAAATATCTGATTTTTACAGATGCACCTTCATACTGCAAAGCATGGAACCAAAGTAAACATTGTTATTAAGAAGCTTCTGCTGTATTGGTGGTTCTACTGATATCAGGTGAAGGACATAAGAAGGTTCTAGATAATTTTAAAACATGGTTTCTGGTACTAGCACACCTATTTAGAAGATAAAGCTGCATTATTCTAGTGCTTCCACCCACCTGTACTAGGAAGCAAAGATGAAATAATTTATCTTGAGGTGGCAAACTTAATTTCATTACCTACTGATATGTAGACAATAGGATATAACATACGATCACTCTGGGATGAAACAACAAAGATTATGAGCCGTGGTGTTTGTGGCTGCTAATGTGCCCATGGACACCTTGCTGAATACTTGCCAGGTTACTTGCTCTTCCTGCTTTTCAATTTCTTAAGATTCTTCTAAAAAGACAATAAAATAGCTGGGAAGCTGACATACATCAAAGAACTTCCCTAATTTTCACTTAGTTTCAAAAGAGTAGTTTTTGTTTTGGAATGCAAGCCCCACACTTGCCTTGTACTTGCATTCTTTGATAAACTGTTTTTCTTTTAGTTTCATTACTTAACCTGCCTTCTGGAAAATAAGTATTTTGTGATGTGCCATGCATACCATGGCTATTTTGTGAGTGCACACAACACTGTCTCAAAATTCCAAATGTCCCCACCAACCCAAAAAGGTTGCAGAAAAAATTATTAATACTGGAGACACTTGAATTTAAATACCTGTTCAGCCACTTATGTGTCACCTTACACAAATCATATGTGCAGCCAGATTCAATGCAGATTTACTTGGAGGTAAGTCCCACTAAGTGCTGAGGATTTTACTCTCAGGAAAATGTGTAAACAATTGCAGTCTTAATCTCTGTACTCTAGTCAGGAAAAAAGAATAAGCAATATACCTTACAGAGATAACAGAAATTAACAAGCACCACTATCTAGTATTTTATGAAAATATCTGTCCTATATTTCTTTAATGAACAGAGTTTTATTCTTTCAAAATCTCACCCTTCTTACCAAGCTATGAGGTCAGCCAGGCTCAAGCCAGACAAGCTTGACTCCATCTTATGGGTGGAGTTATAAAGGGGAAAAGATGGCTTCCTCCTCTGCCCCAAACACGGGGAAAAGCCTGTTTTAGCTCTGTGCTTGCTGTATAAAAGTACACAACTAAAACAAAATTTGACCTTCCTTCTTTGGTTCCAAGCTGGTGAAAATGTTTGGCTTGTGCCAGTGCTTGTTGGGTGTTAGGAGTGCCAACTAGCTGGCAGAAGCAATGAAAATATGCAAGCCACCACTGCCCCTTGTCCACTATATGCAGGAGAGATGGTAAACATGCAGAGACTTTTCTCCATGCCTCCAGGTGGCAAATACGCCAATCACCAGGTAGAAAAAGACCATGTACTTCAGCCACCCCACATTTGTCAATCTCTCCTCCTGGTGGTAGCATTCATACACCAAGTTTGCACAGTAAGGATATGTACAGATGTTTCCAGTGGCTGACCCCTACAGCAGAGTTTCCTGCTTCTGGTCAACATCCAAGCCTGGACAGTTTCCATAAACACAAAAACTTTTTTTAAATGTTAAACTGCCCCAAGCATGGAGTGATATATTGGGCTTAAGCTCCATTGAACATGGTGGGACTGACTTCTGAGTGATGTACATTAGGATCAGGCTGCACATCAGCACGTTCATAAAATATTTTATTATTTAAAATTACATTGTATTTGCTGAAAAGTATTATTTACTCAAGTTCTAGGGGTAAAGGACTGGCAATAAACACAATTAACAGATATAAGTAAAGCCAAGGGAATCTATGCATAAGAAAAAGCTATTTTGACAGGTTGTGAGGCTTTCACTTTAAAAATAAGTCATCTTAGAGTGTACCAAATTTAACTGTATGAGTATGGTAACTGAGAACTGTTTGAAGGGTAGGCCTTTTGTAGCATGATAATAAAATCTTATAATCAAAGTTAGTTCTTCTTAAAGTAAAGCTACTTAAATAAATGGAATTTAAGACAGGCTAGCATTGGAGACAACCTAGAGATTGTGTTCTTGATTGAATATCCTGCCACAAACTTTACTGGATAGTCTCTGCCAAGTCATTCTTTGAGTCTCAGTCCCACCAAGATAAAAAATGGGATGAAGAGCTTCAAATAATTATGAGGATGGCTAAATGACAAACCAAAAATTTTTTAGAATGAAATAGTTCTACAAGGCAATAATCCTCCCATTTGAGGTAAAAGCAATTCATATGCAAGAATTCCTCTTGGCACTGATGGAACTGCCTTAAGAGTCTTATTTTCAAATGAATCCATTGCTCTCCAATTATTGCCCAGATAAAGCTCACCTGGAAGGGGCTTTGACTGCAGCCCTGTGTGGCAAAAAACCTGGACTGGATTTCGGTCCCAACCTGCAGAGGATTCTGAGTATGACTCTGCTAAAGAAATAAAAGGAGTAAGATCAGGGAACTTTAGTAGAAAAACCACTTCACTCTTAACAATCCCTAAGTGAATTGGGACAGTGACTAATGATAACTGCAAAGATTTAAACTCCAAAACCAGTATATACAGAGCAGGTAATAACAGGAAGTCATTAAGTTTCATTATTCCACAGAGAATCTGAGAGGTTGACTTAAACTGAGTGAAAAATGGGCTTAATCTAGAGACTTCAATAAATCAGATAAGGCAGTATGGAGGGGGGTTTTTTTGGGGGGGGAGCAGTATCTGCTTGAACAAAGTAACCAAGCACTGTGCCCAAGTTTCAAGAAGCTGTGAATACCGTATGAGTGAGGATCAGGGATTAAATAAGAAATAGGATCTGTTGAAGAGAAAGAAAGGTTTGTAGAAATACACTGGTATTATAGGAGAAGCTAGAAACCAAAGCAAATTGGGTGAATCTGGACAAGGTCTGAATAGATACATTCTTGAGGTTGAGCGATCTGAGTGGATATCTGAGCTGTAGTTCTTGGAATAATGTAAATAAAAGTTTGGAAAATAAAGATAACAGAGTATCCTTCCATTAGAAAAAAATGACAAGGGAATAGGTAAGGGCTTCCAAACAGCAATAAATATGCACAAACTGTCATGTGTGTATCTGGACTGTTGAATGAGTGAATATATTGCTTATCTGTATTATATTCTAGTCTACACAGTAGCATTATTTGTGGCTCTGATGAGTCAGATTTGAGGGCATAAAGGGGGCTGTGCGTAAGAGCAGCGTTTTGGACTTGAAGATACAAATATGCTGGTAGAGGAGGGACATTTAGGGGTGGTCCGAAAAGCAAGTGGTTGCATATCTGAAAAAGGGAAGGCCTAGGCTGTGCCCTGCAAAGAGGAAACCCTAGGCAAGGAACAGGAAGCAATGGGAGGGAGTATGATTGGAGGACGAACCAGTGGAGGTGCAGCATGGACACTCAGTAAAAGGTAAAGGCAACAGGCAGGTAGTTATTCTCCTTCGGCAGTCACTACAAAGAAAGCGTGGGGGAAGTCGCAGGGTTTAAGAGGAAACTTTGCAGATGTGGTTTATAAAAAGAAACAAAAGGTTAATATAAGAGGCTATTTGGGGTGGGGATGAGCTGCACATTGAAGGAAGCATGAAGCAAAAGGGAGATGAGAGAAACAATACATGAGGTGGGAAATGAGCTTCTAGATAAGCTATGGCCACATGCCATTCATTCAAAACGTAGGTTAAAAAAACCCGGAGATGATGAACTTCCTATTAGTTGAGTCTACAACTAATGTTTGTCTCTATCTTAATTATTTGTGGGTGAAATATGAGATCTTATTGCATTTTCCTATAGCCAGCAGCCACCTACCTGAGTGCTGCCACATAAAGATAGGCAGAAAACAGGTGGAAGATCCACACAACACCTGTTGGCCCTAAAAGGTAGTACGTAGCTAGCACCTTACTCTGCGTGTGTGCACTCCAGGGCAAGTAAATCCAGAGGGCCGGAAAACAAGGAAACACCTCCCTGGCATATATGGCCACGACCAAACTGACATGGGGTGCGAACCCGTGCGGTAAGGATTTGAAGAAGGGGGGCGTCCAATATGGAAGGGGGCATTTTATTTAACTGTGGGGGCATTATGGGAAGGGAGAACTGACGTGCGTGGGGGGATAATAGCCTTGTACAGGAAGAGGCAGCTGTGGCGTGAGAGCGTGTGTGTGCGTGTGTCTTGGGGAGGGGGGCATTTTTGAAAGCCGGATCACTGGAAGTGGGACTGAGAAGGCTCTGAGGTAGCAACTGGCAGGGAAAAAGGTGGGGGAGAAGCGCGAGGGGATGGGCAGAGCGAGCGCGAGAGGGAGGTGACCGTTGGTGGGGGGGGAAGAAGCGCGAGGCGCAGGGAGGGGCTGGGCACAGCGAGCGTAGAGAGCGACGGGGTAGGGGTAGCGCAAGGCAGCGCTGGGCGGAGGGAGGTGACCGTTGGGGCAGCGCGAGGCGGAGGGGGGGAGCGCGTGTTGAGTGCGCCCTGCTGGCCCGCGCGCGCAAGGGCCCCCGCCCGCTGGGATTCCCGAGGGGAGGGGCGGGGCAGGGAGGGTGTGAGCGGGGAGCCTAGAGCTCTCGCTTACGCTCTCTTGTCCTTCCCCGCTCGTGCTCCCCCCCTTTTTTTTTAGCGGAGAAGGGAGGGGGAAGGTGGAGGAAAAGGGAGGGGGGGTTACCTGGAAGATGAAGCTGCTCCAGTTGCTCGGGTCCATGGCGGCGGCAACGAGCGGGGGAGGGGGGTTCAGCTCGGCGAGAGGGGGGGTCGGGAAGGGAGGGGGGAGCGAGTGGGGAGCAGCAACAACGTCGCGCGGGCGGGGGGAGTGAGGTGGGAGGGGGGATAGAGCGAGGAGGCAGCAGCGCGAGGAAACCTCGGCGCGCACGCTGATTGGCCCCTTCTGCGCGCGCGCGCACCCCCCGGCGCCACAGCCTCTCGGGGAGGGAGGGGGGAAGAGGGGGGTGTGGAGAAGGCGGCAGGTAGCGATTGGGTGGGGCTGCGGTCCTCGCTCCCGATGTGCGCGGGATCGTAGCAGGGAACACATGTGTCGTGCTTGCTGATTGGGCGGAGTGACGAGCACTGTGGTTGTAGGGCTGTTTCTTTCAAAGAAGGAAGTTGATTGGCCGCTAGCGAGGCGGCCGCGCGCGAGTAACGGTTGCCTCCTTCCCCTCCCCGTTAGTTTTGCATTGAGTGGCATCGTCTCTTCACAAAATGGCCGTTAGGTTGAGCTTGTTCGCCTTCAATAGCCAATACAGTGCCTTTTAAAATTATTGCTGGCTTTTTCTCCCACGCTATAGTATTTACCTCTCCTAGTGTATATTGAAGATTTTTAATGTTTACCTGGAAGATTAACGAGCTTCACGGCATTTTGAGCCTCGAACTTTTAAAATAGAATAGTAGAAATGGAAGAGGCCTATAAAACCATCGAATCCAACCCCTCCTCCTCTCCCACATCCGACTGCAGACCTATGCTCCTTCAGCTTAAGGTGACATTCTAGCTCAATACGTAGCTGTACTAATGTCCCCTCCCTTTTTTTTGTAAATATTAAACCAGGTCATAACCTAGCCTCAGCCACCATTTTTAAGAGTGTGCCTTGCTCTTAATGCATGGAAGGCCTGGAAAAATTTCAGTCATATTTCAGAATCAAATGCATTATTTTGCTTCGTGCAACCAGACATCCATTTCTTAGATTATAGGCATGCTGGTGGGGACTGCCTTGTATTAATTGTATATAAGCTGCTTTGGGAACCATTGTAGATGAAACGCTGGATGAAAATGTAGAATAAATTCTGCATGGAATTCTTGTTACACGTGGTCTTATTTGCTGAGTTGTCACTGCATTTGTTTTCCCATGCATTCAATCCAAATCATACTGTATTACTGCAGAGTTGTACATTAATTTCATTAACCCCTTTTCATCCCATAGTATGGTTTTACTCCAAGGAATTAAAGAGTTCTTTTCTACACTTAGTCCTCAGAACCTTCTGATATAAATTGATAGTGAAGATCATCTACAAAGCTTCAGCATTAAACAATCCTGGATCTTACTTATCAAGGGGCAGGCAACCCATTGCATGGCTCATTGGCAAGAATGCTGGTAGTCCAAAACATCAAGGGCATCAGGTTTCCCACCATCTAGTCCAGCACTGACTTGGTATCAGATGAATTACATTCTCTGCAAAAGGTGCCACAACCAAAGACAAATTTCATCAAGCACCATACTTCAGAACACATTTTTAGTGTCTATCTGTAACATACAGTTTTGATTTTGTGAACCTCATTTATTTTAGGAGTGTTCTCCTGCTACCACCAAACTTACCTGCACTGCAGGATGCTGAGAATTCTATTTTAAAGCCACACCCAGATACAAACTCCTAATTGTACCTATGTGGTATTCTCTGGCCAAACCAGGAGGTACCTGAGTGTTTACAGGAATTGCTTTGGAAGACATGATCCTTGAAATCTGATTACTGTGAGAGCGTGGCGTCACAAAGAGCTTTGGCTGTGGGGCTGTATAGGAATGTTTTCTAAACTGGCCATATATTGGAACATAACGTCCAACAATGGCTACCTGATTGACATTGGGAGGTAGTAACGCCGTTAAAATACCATCGTACAAGGTTAGTCAAGTAAGGCAGTAAGTGCCAAAAGTAGCCTTCAGAAGTTTGGTCCTATGCATTGTAACTCTGGAGTAAGTTCAGTTGAGATGTTCCAGAGCAAGTGTGCACAGAATTGTAGTGATGAAGCCTACTTTTATATATTACTCCTAAGCAAATGGGGCTGAAGGCGCCTCTGTGCGGTGCAATCCTAAACGTGCTTGCTGCACAACGTTCAAGCCCGCAGAACTTACAAACACGCATAGGATGCAGCGCGCATCAATTGTACAGGAGGAGTGAGATTACGCAGCATACCTGAACAGAAGAAAGGCACAGAAAATGGCTGACAGTTGAGCAACAACAAAAAGATTGCAAGTCAGAATGACAGACACACGCACAATTTCCCGCTTAATTCAAACCAATCTTCTTCTCAGCTGGCTGCAGTCCGCTTCTCCTTGAGACTCAAGCGGATATAAATAACAATTTGGGGGAAAAAAATTACCCAGTAAGTGACAATAACCTACGAATCTTGCGTAGTTTCGAGAGCTAATTATCTCGTCGCGCATGCGCGGCGCAGAACAGTATCGTAGTCCTGAAATAAAGCACGCATGCGCATTGGCGTGAAAAAGGCAACGCGCACAGCAGGGTGCGGAGGCTCTTCGAAAACAATACGCTCGTGCGCAGGACAGCTTGTTGACTCCGTGTGTCGCGCGCCCGGAGAGATCGAAGATTATGTAAATAAATCAAGGGCGCATGCGCCTTAGCATACGCGTTGCTAGACGAGTACTTAAAGCGCATGCGTGGCAAAGCGCTGGAAAACCTGGCAAATATTTGGGCGCATGCGTTTTCCTGTAGCCACGGAGAATGCAGGATTAACTTTTCCGCATGCGTACGAAGAGTAGCTCCTGGCTCACGCATTTTGCTCCCCCTCCTTTCTGGTGTTTGATCTTGGATCCACATTTAACGCTGACAGAACGGTGCAAATTGCAGCGCTTTAGTAAGCAATTGACTGTTGCCTGAACTGGTCGCATTCAGTTGCGGTATTGGCTTTAGACTGGGAAGGGATTATATAGAGCATTCGCTTTGACATGCTTTAACTAAATTAACAATTTAACTAAATTAATATTGGCTAGAACTTGGAGTGTATTTATAAAGACATGTGTTGTTTTTGCTAAAAATCCGAAATAGCCACCTACAGAAATTGACCGTGCGTGTGAAGAAAGGGGTGGGTGTGTTGTGATTTTCATGGTAGTTTAAAATCCTATATAGCACCCTTTGATTGTTGTGTACAGAAGTAGATACATTGTATTCGATGTTCCTAAGTACAGAATAGACTACACTGCAGGGTTTTTGTGAGCCCCCCAACTCCGCATCTGCATTGTGGAACAACAGCTGCAGACTACATTGCAGGGTGGTTGCAAGCTACTCTTCGTCCACAGTGCTGCCCATCCCAGCTTACAATATGGAGAAAGCAACCGTGTGGGTGGTATTTGTTAGACAAAATTTTCTCTGAGAATATTTCAGAGAAGCAAAGCAGAGTGAGGAGAGCATGAACCCTTGTCTTTGTTTCTTCATTATGCAGTGCGAGACTTGGTGGCAGGGAGGGGGAACATGGCCACCTAACCATAGTCATAATGACATTGTGTATTTCCTTTTCCTATAGACAGCTGCCACTGATACCCTGAATGAAAAAGGAAGAACAGAAAGCTTTAGGTGCCTAATAACATATTTATTGTTGGTTACCCCCGTGTATTTTGAGCTAATTTTTCCCTTTAGGACATCCTTGAACAGCCATTTTCAGGCCTGTTCTGTTCACATTTACAACACTGAAGACACCAGAAATGAAATTGGTGTTTCAAGTTCTCTTGACCAAGGACTTTATTTGAAATATACTAGCATTTTTTAATTGAGAGGCCTTTCCTTATTTGTACGATCCCTGCTTTTTCACTTTTTCCTTACAGTTTATTCCTATACAGAATAATAATTAAAAAAATATCAAAATAATCTGGAAGTTCTTTCTTCAGACAATGTACAGAGTACACATTCAATGGACTTGCAGAGAAGAATCACATCAGGTAGAGAGGAAACTAGTTTTTACAGTGTATGGAACAACCTTCAGATTTCACAAGATGCTTCTTCAAAATGAAATTTCAAGGGAAAAAATCATGTTTCCAGCTCATTCTGACTAGCTCTTTCAGTCTTTTTGTAACCAGAAAAGTGCACAAATCATCTCACATAGCTTGATAATTAGTACAACAATATGCAGAGGTGGGCTAATATTATTTTAGATAAAAGAATAGGTAGAGGCCAAGATATAATGGCCAACAATTGTATTAGAGATCTAAAGTTCAGATTTGTAACCACTGAATCTACAATCCAGTGCCTACTCAATTGGCAATAGAGCTATTGTATTTAGTGCAAGTTACTTCTGAGTGGACATGCATAAGATTGCTCTGTACATCACTTTGCTATTTAAATAGTAATATTTTTATGCCAAGGCATGCATGGGTACCTCCAGTGGCACCTGCAAAGGGGTCTTCAAATTGGTACCTATATACTAGGTACCCACATTTTTTCCTGTTTAATATATGTACATGGATTTGTCTGAAATGCATTCATCTTTCTAGCAACTGTACACACACTTCAACAAAAGTGAACCAAACATCCAAAACGTATCCGTTGACACTGGCATCTTTACATCACTTGTTCTTAAATCAAAACCCTTAGTAAGTCCATTACAAAAACTGTAGAAGGGGTGTGTTTATCTTTCTGGTTTTGTAATATGGCAGCCTTCTAGCTTTCAAAAGGATACAGAAAATCTATTTCCCATTCCATGTGTTAATTTTCATGAAGCAAACAAATAGCATACAAAAGCATATACATTGGTATAAATTATATTGTTTCATAATTTCCTCTGAAAAGCAACTACTGGACATTGCCCAGACATACATTTTAAAAGAATTATTTCCAAATGTGCTCACTGGTCCAAAAAGTTTGGTATCCCAGTTTATACATACACACGGACATGGGCACCAGCCACTGCAACAGAATCAGATGCCAACTTCGTTCCTGTGTCTGCTCTGGTAACAATATTACGTAATTCAGCAGTGTCATCCACAGCATTTGGAGTCAATTCACCTACTGGTCTTCCAAGGTGATTTCTGCCTTGGAAGTACTGTTCTTCTGTGCTCTACACAGGACAGACAGGCTGGCCTCCATGTCACAGGCTTGCAATTCAGACCTGTACAGACCTGCACTATTCTTGTTTCGCTGGCAGAGTCCAAGGGAGCTCTGTCAGCTTCTTCCAGCAGCTCGGTCATGGGCAAGATTCACTGGACTTGCTGGGGGCAAGGCGTTCACTTCAAATCTCACCTCGCAATGCATCCAGAATGGTTCTTTCCTGAGTGCTAATACCAGCAGGAAAACAATGTTCATCTGGGTCAGCAGAGCAGCGTATGTGTGAAGCTTCACCTTCATGTGATCCTGGTGAAGCCAAGACAGCTGTTTCTGTGCTGTTTGTTGCTTCCTTTGGGTTATGGAAGGAGCATAATTATCACTGCCTGTTGCTTCTGCATTTCTTTTGACATTGTTAATAATTCCCACATGCACCATGGCTGGGTTCAGACGACATGACAATACATGATAGTTTTCTACCATTTTTGGTCTTTTGTGTTGTCTGAACCTAGTTGTTCAATTTACATGGTAAGTCAGACCTTTAGAAAGCACAATAAGAAGCAGTAGTTTGTTCTATAGCTTCTTCGTACCACCATGGCTTGTTGTGTTGCCTGAACCCAGGATCATGGTTTCCAGCATCCTGGTATGCTGCTACCACAGAGTATTCAGGAAAGAGTGGCAACTGCAGGGTCTGCTCCAGCCATCCAGCTCTATGTATGGACCAATTAGGCGGGCAGCATAGGCAGGGAGCAATTTACTTTGAGATTAAATGTCAGGAAGAGTGACTTTGGGGATACATGCTTACATTGGGAAGACTGAATGGGAAGGATGAAAACAATGAAGAAATCATTTGATTGTCTGTCAGGTAGATAATGGTAAAAAACCCTGAATCATGGTAACAATTTAGGATTGCTTGTCATGTTGTGTAAACACATGAGAGCCAGTGTGGTGTGGTGTGGTGGTTAAGAGGACAGAACTGGGGCTCCAGTAATCTGGGTTCTAGTCCCTGCTCAGTCATGGAGCCAGCTGGGGGACTTTGGGTCACAGACGCTCAGCCGAACCTACCTCACAGGGTTGTTGTGGGGATAAGATTGAGCAGGAACAGCATTACGTAATTACACTGAGTTCTAAAAAAAAGAAAAGGGCAGAATTAAAATTCTGAAAGGCCGCCTAGGAAGGCCTTGGCAGTTATAGATGGCCTATAAATGTGTATAAAATAAGTAAAATATAATAAAATAAAAGCCCATATGTATCTATACTAACTCTGGTTTCCTGCAGCAGGTGAGGGTCCTCCCTGTAATCATCGCATGACCTACAGACCTTCTTTTCCACCTTGGGACTCTGAACAAAGTAGAAAACACATCACAGTTGGAGAACTTGTGTCGCTCTTCTTCACTTTGAATTAAACAAACACAGCAGCACCTGTGAATTTGTTGGATACAGGATAGGACCCCTGTACCCATGGGGTATCGCTTCCAAGCCCTCCAGTGATTACTGAAAGTTGTGGATGGCAGCAAACACTACTAGTTTCGCAGCCCACTGTGCCACAGATGGGCATGGTGCAGGGGGCGAGAGGGAACAGACAGCCTTCCAGGGAATGTTCCTCTTCCCAGACACCGCTGTGTTCTGCCTGGAATGGTGCACCATTCCCTGGCGAAAGCAGGGCAGGCGCTGGATTTGGGACTGGGTGGGTGCCCAGACAAGAGGCTCAAGATGTGATGCAGAATGAGCTCCCCCAGAGCAGGTCGTGCTCAAGCTCCTCAGCTCTTGTTTTTGCAGGCAATTGGGGTTAAGTGAAACATCAGTAACTGAAACACTGGATATGGAGTTTTTCTGTAGTAAGCTGGCCAGCTTCATTTCAATCAATGTGCTGGTAGCTTTAACAGTTGCGTTAAGTTTTCCCTGTGTGCAGTCTCTGATTGAAAAAAGGATCAGTTTTCACAGTAGTCGCTTTCCATGCAGCTATTATTAGCACTAGAATCCTGCCCCACCCACAAAGGGCAATCAATTGCCAACTGGTTGCCAATAGCTTTGTTTCTGGCTGGGCTTGTGTAACTTTAAAAACACAAATAGGCAGAGTATTGGCTGTGGGATCATCTGGTACACAACTCTGCCCTGACAGTTACATCTCTTCAAGCTCCCAGGCATCAGCGGTTCCCAAGAAGCAAATGTTACACACTTGTGCATGCAAACCATACGCCCTGTTAAGCTTTGTATTTGCACACATAATATGCAAAAATACTCCCAGGTCAAGAAGTAACATTGTGAGTGAATTGGGCCACAATCTTGTAGCTCTTTCCCTGGAGTAAATTTCAGGGTGACTTAATCTAAGTAGACACACAGGGATGATGTTTCCAAGAGTCAGATTACTGTTGCTCAACAGCATTATCAAAGTGCTTGTACCTTTATAGAACTTTAACAGGGGCAAGGTTTCAAGTTCAACAGGTAAAATACTTCATATCACAACATCTCTATATTGGTTCATGCTTCAGCTGCTAATTTACAGACCGGTTCCCCTGGAGCTGGTCAGAGCCAAGGAATCTAGTTATGCCTCCTGGGCATGTATGTTTCTATCTGGCTTGTCTATTATTATTCTGAAAGAAGACAATACTTTGCTTATAAAGTCCATCATGAAACAAAGACACATCAAATAATAAAATCTCTTATTGAAGCTACAGGGCTCTTACACTGCTTAGTTTCTTAGGACTAAGCTCCACTGAACGTGGTGGTGCTCACTTCTAAATACAGAGGTCCAACTTGTAAGACAAAATGCAACCTTTTACCTTATAATTAGAAATGGAAACAATAATGCAAAGACGTTTTAGCATTTAGGGTGAAGTAGGACTTCCACCAAAGTAAGGACAGGCACTATCCAGGCCTAGCTGGATAATTTCTTCATTCTCTGATTCTGCTTATGTTAACCTATCATAAACCATAATGAAACCAATAAAAACAACTTTGTTCACTTGCCAGGGTGGGTCAGGGGAGGAGATGTGCTCTACCTTGGTTTCCTGCTTTCCCAGACGATGTTGCTGGTCCTGCTTTGAAAAACTCATGGAGTTGTAACCCTATGTTTTCCTTCCATTGCATCACTGCTAAAGTCCCTGCCAATTCTGAAGTTCTATTATTTTATATGAAAAGGATGTGGAATAGGTGGTTTTTCAGATGGTTTGGTAGAGTTGGTTTTCCAGCTCCCAGCATTTTTTAACATGGGCTATGTTGGCTGGGGTTGAAAGGCATTGCAATTCAACAATCTCTGGAGTGACACATTCCTGCTCTCCATTCCTGCTTTCTGTTTCAACTAGTGGAGTGATCTTTGTCAACCCCCAGAGAGCTTTGGCTAGTTCATCGTTCCAATTCCTTTTAACAAGTTTGTAGATTATCCAGTTCTATCCAGAAATACCTTCCTGAACCATTCCACACATCTTTTTCAACCAGTAGCATAAGGATCCCCAAATTTAGAAGGGCTGTTTTCTCTAGCCATATTCAATGCCCTCCCAAGAGCCATTACTGAAGGGAGATATCAGATATACCCCTTGAACAGAGACTGTGCTTATGTGGGGGAGAAACAATGGAATCGCTGGAGCATGTTATTCTTTACTGCCCTCTCTATACAGGTGCTCACCAGGAACTGTTATCCCCACTCCTTTCTAAATATCCCAGTTACTCCAATTCTTTTTATCTTAAGATACTTTTATCCGATCAGCCCAATTTCATCTCCTTGACTACAGCCAAATACTGTTTGGTGGTTTGTACAGTGTGTGGTAGAATTAACCCTAAATGTTGTTAGATTCTACCAGAATGTGTTTACTTTCTTTTCTTAATTACTGTAATTTTCTTAGTAATTTTTTTTGTAATTTTTAACTAACTGTAATTTTGTGTTTTATTTATTGGCTGGTCAATGACCGAATAAAGATTTGATTGATTGATTGATTGATTGATCGATCGATTAACATGTTTGTGGTGACTCAAAAAGATGATGTTGCCTCTTTAAACAGTGATGATTTTGCAGTTTGCTCCACCTCTACCAGGAAACAAGCCTTCGGGAAATTCCTAGCAGAGGCTAAAGGGCTGTGGAAACCGCTAAAGCTCTCTTTGCGTGGTAAGGCGATTTTTCCCCCTTTATGAGCTTTCTACCCCCCCCCTTCCCCCGCTACTCGATCCTTTCCTGGGCATGTATTTTGGTGACTATCTTCTCCAGAACAGGAAAGCGAACTCGTTACAGAAATCTATGAGCTCTTGAATCTATCATTGAGGGCTAAGCAAGCGGGTGGAGAACTTTCACTTTCTCCTAAGATGGCAACTCTAAATGATTTAAGAAGACGGAGACAGTGATTTTTCTTGTTGACTGACATGCCAAAATATAATTTGTTCGACTTTCTTCCAGCGCTCAAGTCCTTTTGAACGCACGATTGGTGTTTTCAGCAGGATTCCGCTCTGCCCAGCTCCCTTTCTAGTTTTTCTGTGCTCATAGTTTCTGCCCGCTTTCAAGTTTTTGTGCCTGTGCGAGGGAGAGCATGGACTGCGTGGAAGTGGGTGTGCCCTCAAGGGCGTTGAGTGAGCACCGGCCAAAATGGCTTCTTCGGTTTGTTGGGGAGTAATTGCAATGGAATGCATTGGGTTTCCGGGGTGAACAACAGTGCATCTTGAAAGTCTTGCAAATGCCCTTTCACCTGTCAGAGCAAGTACCCAGCTGTTCAGTTTGTCAGTTACCCTGCAGGATGATGCTGACATTGCTGCCGCTCTGAAAAAAGCCCAGGAGCTGTCGTCCTTCCTGGCTGCTTCGCATACATACACAACGCCCAGGTCCCTTCCAACTCTAAAATTCTGCGATTTTATATGACAGGGGTAGCGAAGGGGTGATCATGTGTTATTGGATTGCAGCTCCCATCATCCTTCCCTGCTGGCTGTGCGGCCCGGGGTTGATGGGAGTTAGAGTGAACCATATCTGGAGCACCTCATGTTCCTTACTCCACAATCTCCACCTCCACCTGCAGTACATTTGTCCTCATGGAATCATTTTTGTCAGCCACCCTGAAAGCTTTGGCCACTGGGTGGTACAGAAATGAAATGAGCCAGAGATGGGGGGCACACAAGTGTCCCAGACTACTGCCAGTTTGGGGTGAAAGGGTGGAGGGTGATATGGAAGAGTGTGCTATAGGGGGTGGTCTTGTGAGCTCTTCAGTTAGTCTTCTGATCAACTCCCTTATTGCACCCCAGTGGTGAACCCTTCCAGAGGACAAAATGGCAGCTGAATCGATCATCCGGATCCCTCCGTATTACTATACCCATGTCTTGGATCAGAATTCAAACGTGACTCGAGTGGAAGTGGGACCCAAGACCTACATCCGTCAGGACAATGAGAGGTAAGCGCACCAAAAGCATCTGTGTGCGTGCATGTGGGGAGATTGGAGTATGCATGCCTCAACAAATACCAAGTTTGTATACCAACCAAGTGTTTTCCCCACTCCTTGCAACCCTCACAGTGAAAGCAAAATTCCCAGCTCCCTTCCAAGCCCTTTGTGTTTGCTAGAGTACATGAAGAATAGTCTTCTGCAGAAGGACAGAGGGTTGGACTGGTGTCTTGCACTTTGGCTTTATTTGTTTCAAAGCCTACATTAAGCAGGTGTTGGAGTAAATCAGAAATAGTAAACATTTTTCAACTTGAAGGCCAGAAACTGCCTGCGGGGGGAATTCTAATGCTGGGGGGAGCAAAGGCAAAATGGGACATGACCCAAATGTTAAAAAATACAGCCTATTTTAGCTTAAAGCTCTTACTATCAGTAACTGAGCCTTAGGAGATGCATTTCAACTTCTTAAAACTAGGAAAACAATGTGCCAAATCCAAGTGGTCCTGCAGTTCGGAAGAGAGGGGTGGGGCCTGAAAAGGGGGCATCGCCGTTTGGGGAACTTAAATTTGGGATTTCAGGAGAGTTAGATGTGGCTCCTGCACCAAATTATTTCCAATTTCCCTTCCAATTCTGAGATTCTGTGAAGGGCCAGGATCTTACAAGAAAGCTTTGGAGTGAGTACAGCAGCAGGTTTTCTTTGCCTGCTTCTTGCATGAGGTCAGAAACAGAGTTGGCTCTGCTTTCATACCTGCCTCAACCTGAAGGCTTCGCTGTGATGAAGAGGACCCTTTGAAGTGTGGCATTTGGGTCTTACCGACTCTGGAAAGCCTAGTCGGCTTCTTGCCCACCCAACAACATTCTCATTCTAGGAGAGCGTAGAGAGAGAGAGATTGGGCGAGCGTAGCAGCTTTCTGGGTGCCACTGCTGGGTGGGCAAGAAACAGCCAATGTGCAACCGCCAACACTGGGGGCTGCTTTGGCAACCCCAGAATTTAGCACGCAAGGCCACTGGCCCTTGCCCCTTCCCCAGAGAAATGGCGCTGCTGGAGGACACCAGGCCAGGGAGGGCTGGAGAACAGAGAACTGGCCTTGGGGAGGTGCAGTAGAGGCACCCGTGAATGAGTTCTGGGCCACATTTTCCTCGCCTGAGTCCTCTACTGTTGGGTGATCAGAGTTATGCAAGGGCTGCTCCTCTTCTGCCTTGCAGACCCCCCTGCCGCATAAATGCACCTCTTTCTGCTTTCAAGATCTGAGTTGTTGTTGTTGTTGTTGTTATTATTATTATTATAACATTTCTATGCCGCCCCTTGCCGAAACCTCGGGGCGGCTTACAACATGATAAAATACATTGAAATACAATAGTACATAATAAATTACCATTAAATACAAAAATACAAAAAATACATTGATTTACAAATACAAAATTAAAATTATCAGTATAAAATAAAAATATAGGATGAGAAAGAGAAGGAAGAAGAAGTTGCCCAGGCCAGATCATATGTTTTAACAATTGAAATGATGTTTAAATAAAAAGGTCTTTACCTGGCGCCGAAAAACCAGTAGCGACGGTGCCAGGCGGACCTCTTTGGGGAGTGAATTCCATAGGTTGGGCGCCACCGCAGAGAAAGCCCTCCTCTGGGTACTTACTCTCCTAATTTCTTTCATGGAGGGTTCCCGGAGAAGGGACTCTCCCGCAGATCTCAAAGGGCGGTCGGGCATATAGGGACGTAAGCGCTCGTTCAGGTAGCCAGGACCCAAGCCGTTTAGGGCTTTGTAGGTCATAATCAACACCTTGAATTGGGCCCGGGCTTCAATGGGAAGCCAGTGAAGCTGACGGAGGACTGGAGTCATGTGAGCATAACGCCCCGTCCCCGTCAGCAACCTGGCAGCTCTATTTTGCACCAATTGAAGTGTTCGGACTGTCTTCAGGGGAAGCCCCACGTAAAGCGCGTTACAGAAGTCTAGGCGGGAAGTCACCAGCGCGTGTGTCACTGTCGCCAGGCAGTCGTACTCCAGGTAGGGGCACAGCTGATTAATCAGCCGAAGCTGAAGGAAGGCGTTCCTCGCCACCGCTGTCACCTGAGCTTCCAAAGAAAGCTCCGGGTCGAGGAGTACTCCTAAGCTGCGGACCTTATCCCTAAGAGGGAGTGTTGCACCATTCAGGACCAGGTCAAATCCACCCTCTCCGAAACCCGATCCGCCAACCAACAGGACCTCCGTCTTGTCTGGGTTGAGTTTCAGTTTATTGGCCCTCATCCATTCCCTTACCTCGGCCAAGCACCGGTTCAGCACAGCCACTGCCTCACCTGGATTAGTGGAGAACGAGAGGTAAAGCTGGGTATCATCAGCGTATTGATGATTCTGCAGCCCACACCTCCTGATGACCTCTCCCAGCGGTTTCATATAGATGTTAAATAGCAGAGGGGATAGAATGGAGCCCTGTGGTACCCCATGGTATAGCTGCCATGACGTAGAGACATGGTCCCCCAGCACTACCTTCTGGAATCGACCGTCGAGATAGGAGCGGAACCACTGCAAAGCAGTGCCTCCAACCCCCAATCCCGCAAGTCTATCCAGAAGGATACCATGGTCGATGGTATCGAAAGCCGCTGAGAGGTCCAGAAGAACCAACAGGGATGTACTCCCCCTGTCCTTCTCCCTGCACAGGTCGTCGTACAGGGCGACCAAGGCAGATTCAGTACTGTACCCGGGTCTGAAGCCGGACTGAAAAGGATCCAGATAATCAGTTTCATCCAAGAGTGCTTGGAGTTGTCCCGCCACCACTCGCTCTAACACCTTGTCCAGAAACAGGATGTTGGCCACAGGTCTATAGTTAGTGGCCATCTCTGGATCCAGTGACGCTTTCTTCAGGACTGGTCGTATTACCGCCTCCTTTAAAGGGGCAGGCACTCGACCCTCCCTCAGAGAAGCGTTAACCACTTCCAAAATCCAGGTCCCAATCCCGTGCTTGGAGTTATTTATTAACCAAGACGGGCAAGGATCCAATAGGCAAGTGGTGGGACGTACTCTTCCAAGCACCTTGTCCACATCATTGGGCCGCAATAATTGAAATTCCTCCAATAATTTTGGACCAGACGGTGGCTGTTGACTTACTTACGGTTGAGTGTCACTTTCACTGAAGCTTTCAGTGCAGCCATGTTGACTATTTTAATAAAGTCTGCTAGTCTGAGGAGGCTGAACTGAAGCAGAGTGTTTTGCAAGACAGCAACTGGCAAGCTTGTGAGCCAGACAGGATAACTTAGCTAAAGCTGATCCTCAGGAGGAGCCTTTCTGCTCTTCCCAGCCACAAAGATGCCACGTATCCAAGATCTTAGCTGCCCCTTTCAAGTCTTCTCTCCTCCTCGTCCACACCCCCGAGCAACTCTCCTTCCTCTCTCCAGGATTATCTTTGCTCCTGTGAAGATGGTGACGGTCCCCCCGCTCCACTACTGTATCATCCGCAATCCAGTGGCTCGTGGAGCAGATGGTGAGGTCCAGCTTGATGCTCTGGGCCAGGTGCGGCTCAGACATGCTGACCTAGAGATCCGACTGGCTCAGGACCCCTTCCCTCTGTATCCTGGGGAGGAGCTACAAAAGGTAAGGGGCTCCGCAGGAGCATTTCTGCTCTGCAGAGGGGCCCACAGTGAGGGAAGAACCAGAGGCCCCTTGCAGTGGGGCCAGTCCCTGTTGGGTCGACATGTGTCTATCCGGCGTGCTCAGGTTCTCCAGAGCAGCAGCTCCCAGCACTGTCCCAGCTGCTAGAACTCATCACCAGTGCTGACCTCACTGGTGATCTGGGCGTCCTTTGGGCACAGAACCCTCTGCAGGTTTCTCTAACCTGGAAGAACTGGAACATGCACCTTAGACTACACCTTGTCTACCTGGATACTCCCTCCCAACTGGAAATGTTAGAACAGTGGGCCTTTTGCTGGTCTTATTGCCCTGGGAAATGTCAACATTGCCAACCTCTGGAGTTGGCCCTGCCAATGGCCTGCCCCCAAATCGCTTGCTTGCTTGCTTTCTGCAGGATGTTACACATCTGCAGGTCGTCTTAGCCAACACTGCCCTCCATCTGAAAGCCCTGCTGGACTTTGAGGATGACCGGGGCAACAAATTCGTTGCTGGAGATGAATGGTTGTTCGAAGGGCCTGGTAAGTGGCAGTCAGGCTAGTTCCTGTTTTGTGTGCCAAGGGATCTAGTTTCAGTTTCCACCATCCTCAGTCACAAAAGCTCACGTACCAGAGCATGGGAAAGATGTCCTCTGGAGACTCCAGTTGCTGTTGGCAGTCATGGCAGGCCAGCCTCAGTGCTCTTCAACCGTGTTGGACTGCAGCTTCCACCATTCCAGCTCGCATGCCCACTGACATCTGTGAAGGCCCGGGGCAATCTTTCCCAACCTGGTCCTCTCCAGAGTTGTTGGACTATACCGCCCATCAGGTCTAGCCATTCACCATGCTGTCTGAGGGTGATGGGAGTTGTAGTTCAGCAGTTTGGAGGCCACGAGCAAGAAGAAGGCTGGAGTAGGTAATAGATGGGCAGGCTGTATGGCCTAGTTAAAGGCAGCTTTTGGTGTTTTTTTTTTGGCTAGATAAGATTTTGAGGCCAAGCTGGCTTCTGTATTATGTTCTTGTTGTTATGTAGGCACCTATATCCCACAAAAGGAGGTTGAAGTCGTGGAGACCATCCAAGCAACTGTCATTAGGCCCAACCAGGCCATAAGACTTCAAGCCCGGAAAGAGTGCAAAGACAGAGAGGGGAATAAACGTGTGACAGGTATGCTTGCTGTTCTTCCCCTGGTCCTCTGCCTGGCCATTTTTTGGTAATGACAAATAATTGGTTTTTCCCTCTTCACAGGTGAAGAGTGGCTGGTGAAGCGGGTTGGAGCTTACCTGCCAGGTGTGTTTGAGGAAGTGGTTGATGTTGTGGATGCCTTTGTCCTGACTGAAAAGGTGAGTGGTGTTTGCTGCCTCTCTTGGTGGATGTGAAGGGTGTGTGTCTTAGGCTCTGCTGAAGCAACTGGGTGCGGTTGCTTTATATGGCATAAATAAGGCTCAAAGTTCAGAGCACAGAAAATGGAGCAATCACTAAGGAAGCAGCCTGAAATGTTACAATTCTGAGAAACTAGAAAAGATACTTGAGGTGAAAGACCTTTGAGAAGGCAAAAGACCTTTGAGAAGGCAAAGTTGACACACTCAGCAAATATGCTGAAGGAAGAGGAAACTGGTATTATGGCACTTTCGATAAACAAATCTACAGGCTATGCTTTTATTACAAGAAAAATAGTGCAGGAATTTTTAGTTTATGAAGACTTCATATGAATTGGCAAAAACAAAATATTTGAGATTTCTGACTTTTTTTTTTTAAACAGTACTCTTACATAGTTTTTTACAAGAAGACTGGCAGGCAAGCCATTCAGACTCTCGCAAGGTACCAGAGTTTAATGATATTAGACTGGAGTTTATCATTTGTTTTGTGAAGAATTGTTAGACCCATTAATCCAGGCTGAGAGAGAGAGAGACTGAAGCTCTGTAAAATGCTAGCTACTTGGGCAAAGCTAAGACTCCCTTTTTTCCAAAAATCAGAAAGATTTTTCATTAACAATGTCCTATCAGCCAATTTCATTACTGAATTATGATTTTAAAGCACGGACATTTGTGTTGACCAAGCAGTTACGCACAATATGATGTAAGTACATGGAGGCTTTATTAGAAGAAGACAGTTGGCACACAGAAGGTGGCAAATAATTGATATTGTACATAAAATAAAGTCTGGCTGTGACCCCAATGATTTATTATGTATGAATATGGGGAAGGTCTTGGATAAAATTGAATGATTCTGTTGGTAAAACTTGGGGAGTATTTTGTAATTGGGTCAAATTGAAGTTTATGTATATGAGCCAAAAAAATGGTCATTTGTCAAGCAGCTTTAGTTTGTTAAAAGGTGCAAGGAAGGATTGTCCTCTCTCTCTTGTTATGTGTGTAGAACCTTTAGCCTGAATTCTAGCATTTAAATTTGCACACTGAGCAAATGTCCTATCATGTATGATATATGGGACAAGCTTTTCCCTTGACTATTCAGCTCTCAAATGCATTTGTGGAGATTTCAGAGTATAAAATTAATTATGAGAAATCTAGGTGGAGCCAAGAAATAAATACAAAAGCAGAGCTATATAAAATGGAGTGTAGATTTTCAGGGATTAGATACCTTATGTCATCCTTCACCCAAATAATATCCAATAGCCAAATTTAATAGGAATTTATCAGCAGATATGAACCAATGACAAGATCTGTTAATATTTTGAATTGGTCTTTGATATGTGGAATTCTGGTAAAATTAAAGCTTTCCCATAGATACTATTTTTATTCATTAATATACCTTTGAATCTTGAGGCAGCTTAAAGAATGACAAGAACTTAGTAATTTATATGGCAGCATCTGCAACTCAAAATAACACTATAATATTTGCAACTCAAAATAACATTATAACATTAAACTGGCCATAAGCAATAGCAGAGTAAATTTACCCTTATTTTTGAAGCATGGAGATCAATTAATAAATGGGCTTGAGTCCCTAAGAAAGGAGTAAAACAAATGAGCAAAATAGGATGTAATCTTCTGCATCTGTATTTTGTATTCTGATATCAGAAAAAGCATCTGATTTGGATGTGCAGTTGCCCAGTCATTGTGTTTCAAGCATTGCTGAGGTTTGGGTAAAGCACCAAGGAACACTTGCTCTAGAATTGTTACCCTGTCTGTCCCTGAATTCCAGTGACCAAGTCAAAGGGGGTTTTAGGAAGTATCTCTAAATGGAAAGATGCATACTTTTAAATAAAAGATTTTGTAGAGAGGGAATCTCTCATTGCTATGATCGGCACAGCTCAGGGCTCACAGTGACACTGCTTTTTCGGGTTAAACATTCCTCTTATACGCATCTGTATACACATTATCCCCATAGGATATTGTTAACTATTTTAGGGCTGTTATTTAACTACCTCTAATAAGAGTCTGGTAAGAAGTATCTACCTGTTGCTCAAGGACACACAGAAGGAATATACACCTAATTTAAAACAAACATGAAGAGAGGATTCATGAGTAATTCTACCAGGAACGGCTTGGCAATGGGTAATGGTTGCTTATGTAGGGAATAATTTGATGGCAATGAATTTTAAAACACAACCTCCTTAAGCAGTTACATCAATGCCATCTTACACCATGTAAGATCAAGAGATAGCCTGCCTCATCTCATGATAAATGAGCTGTGGAGAGCAAGATGTAAACGACATGTCTACCTTTAGTGTTGAGGTAAAATAAAACCATTTCGGACTCCAGTTCTCTGTTATGAATTCACACACAAGAGCCAAGGTGGCATGACATAGAATGCTGGACTGGGGATCCGGGTTCTAGTCTCCCCCTGGCCACTGGGTGACTTTGGGCCAGCTATGGACTCTCAGCCCAACCTACCTTTCAGTGTTGCTGTGGTGAGGACAGAATGGAACCAGGTTAGCTGCCCTGGGTTCCTCACATGAAGAAAAACGGCCGTGTAATAGATTTCGCTTTAACAGGCTATTTAAACCCGTTTAAATTGGGATATGTAAAAAGGCATGTAGAAATCTCTGATGCAGGGACGTTACTGATTTGTTGACACTTAAACTTGGAATTGTGGAGTGTTGGAAAAAGAGTACAGCTTCCACTCCCACATTATCTGATTGCTCTTCCAGAACACAGTTCATTGCCATGCACTGAATATGACTTTTATAAGAGCAAGAGAAAAGAGAATAGAGCTACTGAGAAAACAGTGTCTTTGTTCCACTTTGGAATGATAAATTCCAGGATGGCATCCAACTATCCTGGATGCTTTAATTTGAATATATGTATTATAGGTGATATCAGTAAGATGAGTTAATAAGAAATACATAATAGTATTTGTGCATTTTATATACTAATTGAAACAGAGAATGGAGCAATTGCTTAGGGTGGCAGTACTATGGGTGAACAACCTCTTCATTTCTCAGCTTCTGGATGGCACATTGGGATTATGACCTGCATGTCATTTAACAAATACAACAACTGCTTATGATAAAATGGCTTGGTTTAGTCTAGTACCTGGATCATTTATACAAACATTAGCACTCTCAAAACAATGTGTAGATCAATAGTTTATAAGACTATAGATAAATTTTAAATGTATACAGAAGACAAGAGCACCTTCTCGGGAATACTCCTTGGATAAAGTATGTTTTCTGCAGAGGTCAACATTTGTCATGGTGGGCAGTTCCAGATGGTGGGTGCTAAGAATCCAGAAGCCTGTTTGGAGCCTTAGTTGGTCAGAACTCTGAAAGTTTGGGCACTGGTAGGGCAGTATCTTCTGACGAGTGCAGCAATCACACAGGGAACCAAGGTGGTGGGGACACACAGTGTGTTTAATATCTGAGCTTTCGACAAGTTTGTGTCTGTGTCTCCATGCCCCATAGATGTGTATTTCTATCTGCAGGGGTGCAAAAGTCCAGCCTTAATTAAACACATACTGTTCATGCGTGTGTGCACACAAAGCAGAAAGGGGGAAAAATCAAGAGCCACTGAATTTCACATGAAGTGTGTGTTTAACTCCCTCATGCGTGTTCAGTAATCTAAATAATGCCTGGCATGTTGTTAAAGAATTTTAGGCTTAAGTTGATGATACCTGTTCTTAAAAAGTATTTATAATACTCTAATAAGATCTATACCTACTATAATACTTTATCATGTCACTTCGTATGCTAAAATTCTTAAGCGCTTTACAGTAGGAATACAATATTAATGCCTATAAGTTTTGTTGTTGTGTGTAGTGCAGCATCACAGCTAGCAGTTTGGCTACTGGGGCTGGGCAGCACATCTAGATCTCTGGGAATGTGGGAAGAATCCTGGGCAGGTCATTTGTATGAATAGCATGTGGAAAACCATCATGCGCGGTAGGACAACCTCCAACCTGAGGACCAAATCCAGCTTGCAGTGGGCCCCATCCAGCCTGCAGAGGACAGATAATGTAAGCTGCCTTGAGCCCTTTGTAGGAAAAAGGCAGGATATAAATCGAAAATAATAATAATACCAAGTCAGTTCCTGCAACCCCAATGAATCCTGTTCTCCCTGGAGCTCTGCGCCTCCCTCTGCACTGAGGATTTATTTTAGTGAAGGCAGTAGATGATATCATGGGGTGTTGGGTGTGAGAGCCAGCTCAGGGAGAAGATTCCCCTCCAACACAGGATTCACCCCAGACCACAAATCCCCCCCCCCCCCCCCGCCTCTCTCTCTCCCCCTGAAGAAAGCGCTGCATCTCCGGGCCCTCAAGACCTTCAAGGACTCACAGGGCATCATGAGGAAGACGGGAGAAGAGTGGCTGGTCACCATGGCTGACTCTGAGGCCCACATTCCCGATGTTTACGAGGAAGTGCTGGGTGTGATCGACATTACCACCCTCAACAGTTGCCAGTACTGTGTGGTTTGTGACCCAGTGGATATGGATGGGAAACCCCAACTTGGCAAGAAGAAAGTGATCCAGGTATGTGTCTTGGGCCAAATGAGTTGGAGGACTACAGGGCCATGCTTGTTAAAACATGGAGAGCGAAGCAGCCATTTTATCCTCACAATTAGATAGCAGATCTGGACCTGCAAGCCCCTGCTGCACCCCCTCCAGACTGCCAAAAGCCACGGCAGCCAAAAAAACAGTCAGCACTCCTGGGTCCTTTGTACCCCTTTGTCATGGTTTGCCACTGAAGCTTGGTGGTGGCGGGAGTGCTGCCCGTGGCCACGGGTGCAGAGCAGTCAAAAATGCTGCTTCATCCCTCCTTGGGCATTGTCTGGGTACCCACTGAGTCCAAGCAAGCAGATCTGGCCAGGTACTGGTGGCCTCAGCATCGCCTTGTCCTGTAACATTTTAGTCAACGCGTTTGCTGGGTGGAACAGCTACCGATAAGCAAGCTGTTGTCCGGGAAGCAGTTTCACTGTCCTCACTGAGCCCCAGGGAAACTCTGCGGATACTACACTCCGAGATGCAGCTGTGTTTCAGAAGCGAACAAGCATCAAATTGTTCCCAGAGGCCATTTCTCTGCAGGTCACAGGGCTTGTTTACAAGGAGAATGTTTAGGAAAATATTGGTAGAAGGGCTCCCCATTTCATGTATTGATTAAGCTGGTGCCTGAGCATCACTCTTGGTCAGGTCCAGATCCAGCACGCAATAATTTAAATTATTATTATTATTTTTTTTTTGGCAGCTGCTGCTTTTGTGGGTGAGGGCAACTGCCACCCATGGACCCAGGCCTGCTCTTGATTGGCCAAACCTTCTCTGTTGTTTCTGCAGGGGGAGGTATCCTTCTTCCTGCAGCCAGGAGAGCACCTGCAGCAGGGGATCCAGAGCATCTACATCCTGTCAGAAGAAGACGGCCTCCTGCTCCGTGCCATCCGCCCCTTGGAAGATGTGACTGAGGTGGGGCAGGCTCAGCACAGCCTCTGGGGTTTGCCAGGGGCCGCACGCTTCCCCCTGGCTATGCCTCCTTTCCCTGAACTGCCTGTTGTCTCCAGGTTCTGTGCAGTGTTTTCCCTAACTCTAAAGGGTTGGTTAATGGTCCTAGAAGTTGTAAGCTAAATTATGCTGGCATTTCTTGTGATTTTGTCCTCTCTGCATTTGCCTTTGCCCACGAATGGAGCGTAGCGCCCAACAGCTTTTCCAAACAGGAGTTCAGACCTCAGCACCCCTGAGGCAGAGAGGCCCGATTCTCTGTCGCGCAGTGGGCAGGATGGGCAGCTTGACGTGGCCAAACGCCTTCATTTTCTGTGTCTTTGCCTTGCCCCCTCAGGATGGGGAGAAAATTCTGCGGAAGCCGGGAGACCGTTGGCTGATCCAGGGCCCCCTGGAGTACGTCCCACCGGCGGAGGTGGAGGTCCTTGAGCAGCGCCATTCCATTCCCCTGGCTGAGAACGAGGGCATTTACGTGCGGGACATCAAGACAGGAAAGGTGAGCAGGGCGGCCGAAACAGTGGTTCTGGGGGACTGGCTACGCTGCCGCACCCCTGGGAGGCATTCCTTCAGAGGTCACTGCTGACAAAGGTATCGCAGCCTCTGATGCAGTCCGTTTCCATTATTTATTAGCCACTCTTCAGCTGAAGCTCTCGAGGCAGAGACAAAGTTCAGCTGTGGTGCAAAGCATACTTCCTGATTTCTCATGGGCGGCTTTCTCTTGCAGCGAGTGGCCAGGAGCCGGGCATCCTGCTCCTGGGCTCACCTGCCGTCTTCCTCTGAACAGGAAGTCCATCGCTGTATGACACGGGGGAAACGTCAGTGACCAGCTTCCAAATTTATCATAGGGCATGAATTTTCCCAGGCTGCACTGGCTGTTCCAGTTTCCATTAATCATATTTGGGAGCGAGGGGGCTATTTTTATTTGTGTTCTCCTACAGCAGCTGTTAGCTCAGGAACAGGCAGCCTGTGCGAACCACATTTCTTGTTGCACTCCGGCTCCTGCCATCCTCAACCAGCGTGGCCAACTGCCAGGGATGATGGGAGACCAAGAAGGCCTCTGCCGGGGCATTAGCTGCCTCTCACAGTTTTAAGGAAGGATGAGATAAATGAGCCACTGCTTTGCAAGCAGACGGCCTTAGATGTGATCTCTGCATCTCCAGGTGTCGCGAGGAAAGAATCCTGACCAAAACCCTGGAGAACTGGGGCCAGTCCGTGTAAAGTAGGCAACCCTGGGCCAGATGGACCAGGATCCGCCTCTGTGTGAGGCCAGCTTCCCATGTTCCCATGTCCAGTAGCCGCTGTAGCAAAATACTTGCGTTTAGAGGGAAAGTGAACTTCTAGTTACTAAAAGACAATAAAGAGTGAGCAGTGACTGCTTATGGCATGTCCTGCTTGTGAGTTTTCCAGGGCCACCTGATGAGCCATTCTTTGAAATGTTAGATTAAACAGAACTTCAGTGGATCTGTCAAAGCAATTATGTTTGCACGCAGCTTGGCTTGCTTGCCTGAGAGGTCTGGGGCTCTTGTTCTTTAAAAGTTTTTTGCATTGCACTTCACTCCCTAGCCTGGCTTGTAGCCTCCTGCAATCAGAGTTGTGTAGGTACAGCTGCAAAACTTGGGGTTGGCTGATCACAGATTACTTCTGCTTTCTCTAAAATTGTTCAGTTAAAAATAACCAAGACATTAGTTCATGGCTTACAGGCATTAGTCTATAGTTTTTTGTGCTTCTTCCCTCCAGTATCTTTTTCAGATTTGTACTAATTTTTTGTGCATGTGGTAAAAGGCAGTTCAAGGGGCAGCCTGCCCAGTATAGCTTTGTAAAACCTTCTGAAGCTCTTTGAAGCTACTGAGCCTTTCATAGAAAACTTACTGCTTTTTATTGTTTCCATTTCAAAAATATAGTATGCTTGTGGTTTAGTGATGAACTTCCCCTTCATTTTCTGTTTTCCCGTAGGCTGAAGTAGGTAGGCTTTAGTCATTACTTTGCTTTCATTTCTGTTTTCTTTTTTTACTTTTTAGTAGTGAAGAATTATAGCACAAACAGTATATATGTTGTTATATAGCAGTAATTTGCTATGAAGGAAAAAAAAACCTCCACTGTATGAGAAACAGAAATCAACTAATAGGCCATAATTCATCATCAATCCTCCAGTTGTACTAAAATAAAACCAATAAAATGGCCAGGAATTGCAAACAGGAAGCTTGTAAATAATGTTGAACAGACCTTCATTGAAATGGAGCTAGAGTGGGCTCAATGGGAATTAGGTTCATCAGGAATAACAAGTCTTATTAATTTAGTGAGTCTTTTCTATGTATGACTCAGTCTGGATCCAACCCTAAATATATAATTTATTTATTTATTTATTTTTCGATTTATATCCTGCCTTTTTCCTACAAAGGGCTCAAGGCAGCTTGCGTCATCTCTCCTCCTCCATCTTATCCCCACAACAACAACCCTGTGAGGTAGGTTGGGCTGAGAGTCTGTGACTGGCCCAAAGTCACCCAGTTGGCTCCATGGCCGAGCGGGGACTAGAACCCGGATTGCCTGAGTCCCAGTCCCGTGCTCTTAACCACTACACCACACTGGCTCTTGTGAGGCAGGGTCTTCCTCCTGAGTAAACACGCTACTCTGGAACTCCTTTTTCCAACAGACTTCATTGTTACATGCCCCTGAGTTCTCCCTGCATGAAACATTGAGCCCTATTTAATGTCAATTATTCCCTTGCATTTTTATAACCCCTTCAGTGCCTTGCTTCAAAAGGCCAGGTGCTGTGAAATCATGCTCATCTGTGGTCTTCCCATAGATTTTTCACTCAGTTGAACCTCCTGCTGGTACCAGCGCCTAGTGACCAGTGGCACCTCTTCCGGAGGACAGACCTCTGTGTCCGACAAGCTCCTGAGCCACTCCGGTGCTGTGAGACCTGTCCAGCCTCCAGCTCTGCCTCTCCCACACAGATTGGTAGACAGTGGCTCCCACCAGCCCAAACTATCAACACATCCTCCTCTTATCCCCTTGTTCCCATTGGTTAAGAGCCCGAACTGCCAACTCCTCCCCATCTCTCTCCTCAGACATCCCCTGACCTCGGTCTCCTGCTTGGACATGTTGAGATTCCACAACATTCTCATCCTCACTATCTGCGCTTGAGTTCCCATCGAACGAGGCAGCTGCCTGTACACATATGGCTGGCTTAGTACGCTGTGTGTGCACAACATTCTGGTTATCTGTTTTTTGTCGCGGGCTCGGACTAAGCTTTTGCCCTTTGCTGTTTCCCCTGCAGGTCCGAGCTGTAATTGGCCACACTTACATGCTGTCCCAGGATGAGGAGCTGTGGGAGAAGGAGCTGCCCCCTCATGTGGAGGCCCTCTTGACCCTGGGGAGAGACCCCGTTGTCGATCGTTCCAAGGATTCTTCCGAAGCGGGGATCGAGGTGCCTCGTGACAAGACACGGACGGTGTCTTACCGTGTGCCCCACAATGCAGCTGTGCAAGTCTATGATTACAAGGCACGCAGGTCCAGGTGAGAGAAGGAAGTACACAATTCCCATCCTCCACAACTCTTCAGAGGCACTGCACAGTCCAGAGGGGCCAAGGCCCAGAAAGATCTCTGTGGCGGGGTGGGGGGGGGAGTGGCATCAAAAGAGGGTTGGCTAAGTGGGGAGAAAGGAGCTGAGAAGGGAGGGCTCAGCGACTGTAAGGGAGATAAACCGAAAAGGGGAGGGGAGCAGAGTAATGGGAGAAGGGAGTTCTTTGGAGCTGGTATATATGGACAAAACAAAAATTCATGGAAAGCTGTATCTAGCAGCCTCATTGCTTTCACATTTACTCTACAGTAGGCACGAAGAGCTCATTCTGTTCCGAAAATCCCCCACACACATACGCTGTGCTCCTGACCCACACCTGTTCTAGAGTTTCAATGAACAGCAGATGTGGCTGCTGGACAGAGATTTAAAATAATGCTTGTTTGGGGCCATACTGTCTAAGACGCGAAGCCCCAGACTCTGAGTTGTGGCTGTGTGGCTGCAAGAGCATCCGAGCCGCTCCGCAGCAGGTACCATGTCCTCATGCAGAACCCGGCCAAGGCGCTGCTCTGCTCGAGATCCAAGATGCGTGGAGGCTTTGTAGGCCCCGGCAGTGGGTCAGCCTTTCAACTGGGATTCCACAAAACTTTGAGCCTTCTGTAGGGACTGAACAGGCTGATCGGTCCCTCCCTCCAGTCCACTGCTGCCAGAGGGTGGATCCTGGTCAAGCCACTCTCCCAGCTGGAAAGCGATCTCTCCTTCCGGTGCCCTCCCTGCACCCTTTGGGAACTGCAAGGCTAGTGCCAAGGGCTGGCATGCCTGGACCCCTGGCACTGGGCCCTTACTATGGTGTGGAACCAGGGCCAGGGCCCCAGGCTCCCTCTCCTCCCTGCCAAGGCAACTGCCTCTTCGCCTGCCTGTCGCTGTGGCCCAGATGAGAGCGTGACACCTAGGCATGGGCACTGCCATGGCATACCTGGGTAGCTCCCCAAAGGAGGCCTCTGTCCACGTTTCCTTCCCGAGGGGATTCAAAGCAGTATCCTCCGTCTGCTGATGCCCCCCAGCTTTGTGGGACGAACCACAAACTATGCACTATTTGGGGAAGTCTGTCCCTCGTGACTGACAACGTTGGAGGGGCCTGCTCACTCGGTTTGTCTGAAGTAGGGGGCTGCTCCACAGCAATAGGACCTTAGCAGGCCCGTAACTCTTACTTTCAGCCTGCTCATCTCCTCTGGCTTCGTACTCAATGCAAGGCAGAACTATCTGCTGGCTGGGGAAGTCTGCCCCTAGTGCTCAAAAATGTTGCCGCATTCATACTTGGACATTAATGAAAGCACTCGAAAAACAAGAGCTGTGCATGTCAGGCAGGGCCAGCTTTCCCACAAGGCGGAATCCCCCACCTGGGGCAGGAAGAGTGGCTCTCGGAGGGCCCTGTGCGTCTCTGTTGGGCTAGCAAAGCAGCCTTTCAGCAAGCCAGAGAGTCCTCTGCTGCCCCATGGCAAGTACCCCAGGGCAAGCAACTGGCAGAGTCCTCTAGCACAGCAGTCTGTCCTCATGTTTCTCTCTCTGCAAAAGCCGTGGGGGGGGGGGCTGCCTGACGAGCCCCATTGGCCAGAAAAAATGGCCACTGTGGCTTTTTGGAGAGGTGACCAAGTGCGAGTACCTTATCTCAGATGGGTGTCTCCCTCAAAGCCAGGAGACCTCCTATACCAGTGAAGGCGAACCTTATAGAGACCAAATGCCCAAACTGCGACCCAAAACCCATTTATTTATCGCAAAGTGCCAAAATTGCAATAAAACCTGAAAACTTGAGGTTTTAGTTTACAAAAAAAACACCTCACAGCCAGTCCAAGTAGATATATATAGAACCCTGGCAGTGAAATGACTGGCCATGCGAAAGCTCAAATTAATCATGGCTAATGAGTCGTGGCTTGTGACATCTTCGCCTGGCACCGCTATTCCTTTCTGAGCATGCGCATGGCCCCTCTGTGCGCGGCTATCCAATGCTCGGCTGCTGGGACGATGCTGGGGAGACTAGGCTCGCTTACCGACAGACACGGTTCTGTGCGCCTGCTATGGCGCGTGTGCCAGAGGTTCGCCAACACTGGCCTAACCGTACCCTGGTGACCCCCCTTAGCCCTAACATTGGGCTAAAGCTCCACTAAAAAGAGGGCGTTTCTGAAAAAGCCTTCCTTGAGTAGCTTTTTCTGCACAGCTCAGCATTTCTGCCCATTCTGAACACATTCCAACCATCAAAATCATGCCAGGACACCTCATTTTTCTAACTCTAACCCTACCCTGGTGCACACCCCTAACCCTAAAATAGGGCTGAACTTCCATTGAAAAGAGACCATTTTTGAAAAAGCCTTCCTTGAGTAGCTTTTTCTGCACAGCTCAGCATTTCTGCCCATTCTGAACACATTCCAACCATCAAAATCATGCCAGGACACCTCATTTTTCTAACCCTAACCCTACCCTGGTGCAGACCCCTAACCCT